ATATTTTCCCTCTTGGCTTTCTTATCGGGTTTCCAAGCTGCCAGGTGTCTGTCTGTTCTGTGTGTTCTTTGGATCTTCCACAATAGCCAACTATTTTTGGACTCGGACACTTGCATGCATAATTGTGCACAAAGGCGTGAAGCGGCATTGGGGGTCCGTGGCAGACGGGCCAAGTTAAACGGACAATAAACTCTCATTCTGGGCCAACTTCTATTCGGAAGTAAGGCAAAAAAAAAGCCACATGTGAAAAAGAAGCTTCAAGTGGAAATATAGTGGCAAAAGCCAAATAGCGGACGCTAGACGATTTTCGGAAATAATAATGGATTGTTTGTTTGTTTCTTTCATTTCATCTAATCTTGGCTTCTTTTGGTCTCTAGACCGAACGGGAACGGTTCGTCTGCGATTCGTTTTCGCATTGTGAAGCCGGTCAAGGTTAATTTGGAAAATATTAGTGTCAGAGCTGCTGGGGGATCGGTCGGCGGAAGGAAGATCTGCTCCGGATGTGGGCCACAAAAAAAAGAATTAAAGATGGAGATGAAACAGAAACGGAGACTTGCTTTACGACTCCAGCACAGGTAGAGATAAATAATTACATTAAATGCGGGCCCGGCCCAGTCAGACACGACTAATTCAATTAAAACGAGACTAGTAGAGGCTAGAGCTAGGCCAGAGATACAGATTAAAATGCTGAAATAGAAGCAGATTCAGCGGCAAGGCTGAAGTTCAGAGCTGGGACTGAAGGTTTTCTGGAGCTCTGGTTTTATCGCAAAGTTCAAGCTCGATTGAGAAATCTGCAGACAATTGCTGATTGAAATCTGGCGGCCGCCCCCCAGGAAACTGAAATATGACTGGCATTTTGACGAAACTTTATTGTGGCTGTGGATTTTTCTCTCTTCTTTTTTTGTTTTTGTTTGTGTGGCAATTAAAAGTTTGAAATGCGAGTAACAACAAACAAATGACAGTTGGAAATATTTCACACAACGAACGAAAGTGAAAATCGCAAAATGTGAATAATTAGCAGGGTCCAACAATAAAGGGAATAAAATAATAATAGCTAACGAACTGAAATAGGAAAAATTTACGAAAAAATTCGCCACAATTGCCAGACGAATTGTTCAGGTAGTGCTGGCATTAAAAAAACCGGCAACAGAAAACAACAATTTGTAGCAAAGTCAATGACAATAGAGCAGAAGGAGGCGGTATAGGGCCAGGTCTGTCTGTCCCTTTCATCACGGGGGCAATAAACCTGATACGGTTACCATCCGCCCTCTCTTTCACTCTCCACATTGCTGTCTCTACGGCCGTAGCATCTTCATTTCGAAGTAATTTCGAACGCAGCATTAAAGCTGGCGACGTGAGGCAAGTGAAAATGTTGTTACCTTTTTACCTCCGCGACTTTCTTTCAACCAAAGTCACAGATACATTTATCTGCTTAGCCGTTGTATCTGTATCTGTGAGATACTTTTGGGGTTTGTCAAAATACACTTAACTAAGTAACGAACTAGTTAGCCGCCATCAAAACAGAATCGCTCGGGCCAAAAACCGCAAAACCGAACGAGATAATTCGAGGCGCGAAAGTGTGGGAGATTTTTATATTTTTTTTCTCCTTATTTTTGAGCAGCAGCTGTTACTAAAAAAGATAGCACGATTGGGTGCTGAAAGATCTGGATAGACAGGCGACTAATTAAGTCGTGGAAGAGCTGCTGTCTTTCCTCAAACGGAAGCAAAGTCAGTTGCTCCGTGCATCTTCATCTGCCTCATCTGCCACATCTCCGTCTTCCCCATGATCGGCTATGCGATGGGGATGTGGTTGAATGCGGAAATCTTGTTGGACGCCTCAAAGCCCCATACCAGTCGCAGCATATTAAACTCTAATCAGCAAGATGTGATGATATGATAGGGCCGAAAGCATTCGGAGTAGGTAGCAATTTGTTTCATAACAGTTACATCCAATTGCCATGTCACTGATGGTGTCGGGATACAACTGCCTGGTTTGAACATATCATTGCGAAGGTACACAGGTGGGGAGTGTAAACTAACCGAGATTGTCATTAACTTGATGGGGTATAGAATTTATAATTTATTGCCAAGTGTGTTATTATCCGAAGCTTGGTTGCTTTCGATTAGGCAGTGGTCATGGTTTACTCTTCTAAAAACCACATAACTAGAAACACACAATACTTAAGAACTTATCAATTTTATTTCCTGTTGTTAAAAGGTTTACAATCCCATGGGTCTAACTCAATTCCCAATTTCAAAGAAAATGTCAAACAAATCTCCCAACTCTTAAGAAAACTTTCCTACATACTCGAGTGAGCTTATCCAGATTTTGTAATAAATTTTTTAATGTTCCCACAGGCTCACGAAAACGAAGAAATGACTCAGCCCAAAATAAGTCCGACTTAAGCAATCCATGTCAATCACATTACGATAAATCTTCCATGGGGAAAAGTGGAAATAAATGAAAAGAAAATTTCGGTAAACCCGAAGGTGTATGCCTCAACCCTTTCGGTTTGCCTTTGGATTCGAAAAATAAGTTAACCTTGTCAGAAATTTAACTACAATTTTCATACCGTGCTGATATTTCTGCCAAGCCGAGTCTTAAGATTAATGATCTCTTCCAATGATTTCGTTCTAATGATCTACAAACTGAAAACCAAAAACGATTTCCTGTCTAAGACTGTCAAGCATGAAAAACGAAAGTACCCAAAAGTCCGAACCGAGGCATTAAAGTTGGTAAACCTCATTAGTCAAGTGACACACATACCCATATGATCCGAACAGTCGTATATGTATTTCTCGGATATTAAGGGGTTGGGTTGGGTTATATTTCTTCTCTTTACTTTCTGGCGAGTTGTAGTTATGCCGCTGTCCAGTTTTTCCACCAATTTCGGCTTCTTTTTTTCATATTTTTCCTTTGTGGCCGAGTTGTTTTATAAACACGCGAATATTACATTAAACTTTTGGTGTAGTTTTTGTGTTTCTGTTTCTGTTTCGTTTTTTTTTTTTAATTTTTTGGGAGGTCTTTCAAGTGCGGTGTATAAAGCTATGCCTAATGGGTGTAAGCATATTTATGGCCTGTCATTACTTTTCCGTAAATTAAACTTTTTAATGCGAAAATTGCTTAGGGTATAATTTTTTTATTTTTTTAATAATCCAGCTGGCTTAGAAACACCAAAAACCGAAAAAAACAGCCGGTGCGGCGACCAGTGAAGAAAGTTATTGTATAATCGCCCCGAAAGGAAGATGGAGCAGAAAAGAGTTTTTCCGTATTACGTGGGCGTTATTTTTTACGACCGATCTTTATTGGTATGGGCTTTCGGGAGTGAATATTCGGGTATCTGGATCAGATGGTTGATGGGGGCTTTCTAATTGCAATTGCTTTGTGCGTATGTCAGTGGTTGCGGTTATGAACCAGGGCGGACCACTCCCATTGAGTCATTTACCCGTTACCGTTTTTATTCTTTATCCACAAAAAGAGAAGCTTCTGTCGGTGGCCGAAATGTGTATAGGTATCTCTTTATATATTAGATGCATAAAACACTCGAGTGTGGTTGGAAAAACAAAAGGCTAACCTCAGGAAACCGTTATGTCAGCAGCTCCAGGCCTGTATAAATCATTAGAAGCAGGTTACACTCGGCAATTTATTTGCTCCACACATGAGATGTATCTTGTAGATGTATCTGAAAGCCTACGCACGTCTGCCCAAGCTCAGAACCCGGCAGAATCTCACCATCTTCGGGGAATTGGCCTGGCCACGGAAGGAAGCTAGCAAAACGATCTGATAAGTGTCAAGATTGTATAACCTTCGTCTGCCGGGTGCCTCGTACTAGGTGCTGGCTTGTGGGGTGGTGCGGTGGTTCGTTCGGTGGTGGTGTTACTGTTACTCCCTTGGCCCCACCGCACAGTTATACATAATTAAATTCAGTGCAAGGCCCAGACCAGAGATGGAAGCCACTTTGGCGAGTCACGTTATTGAAAATGGATTAAACAAAGGCTTAAGATCAGGGTCTAGGTTTTTTTTAATGATATTATATATAAATATATTTTTTAAAATTATTTAATAAATCAAAGTTAAAACTTTGTAGATAGTTGTCTCGAGTATTAAAACCTATATTTCCTATCATCAAACTTTCCATCTAACTATTTTCAATGATTTTTCACCCGCTGAGCATCACTGCCACTGAAGTAGTGACTTTGTTTTTTGAAAATCACCGCTGCCGCACCGCGTAGCAAGAAAAATGAAAAAGAAAACTCACTGATATTGCTCTAGTACGGACAAATACTACGATACTATACACTTCGGGCCAAAGTGAGCCCTCAAAGTGTAGTTGCTGTAGAGGTAGATCCATTGTTTTGGTCACACAGCTGAGAAACAAATGGAAAAATGGAAAAATTACCCAAGCAGCCGAGCCAAAGACCCTCCGCACAAGGTGGCAGCCGGGGAGGCCCGGAGGCCCAAAACGCGCTGTGAAAATGAGGAAAAACAGATATCGCCGCACGTCGACAATGACTGGGCAGCTGCGTTGAAGTCGACCGAGGCAGAGCCAGCGACTGCGACAGCGGCAGAGGCAGCAGCTGTGGGCCAAGCTCCAATCTTCAAGCTTCAGTTTTCAGTCGAGCTTCAGTTTTGGTCGAGAGCAAACGTTAACGCGAACTCTAAAAAAAAAGTAATTCAACGGATACGGATTCGGATTTTGGATGCGAGATTTCGAAGCTTCGGCCACGATTGGCTGAGCACTAGAGCCATGATAATTTATAATTTGCATAATTGCTATTATTAAAGCCAGTGCGACAGTGAAATAGAAAAGCAAAAGTCAAAGGAAGAAATTTTTTGATTTCAAAAGAGAGTGTGTTCTATTAAAATGAATAAAAAATTATAAAAGATAACTAACGGAGACTGAAACTATTTAACCAAAAATGTGTAAAGACAAATGTGTAATAATATAATAGTTAAACTTATCAGATATAAATCAATACTTAATAATTCCAATCATTTTTGAAATGAAACCAAAGCCAAACTAAAATCGACAATAATAATGTATTGCACCAAAGATTGCACTTGCAGCCTGTGTCGCGAGTTGCGGGGATATAAGCAACATCCTCTGAAAAAGGCTCCACCAGCCCCAGTGCCCCCCGCGAGCTCACTACTGAGCAGAATGCTAAACGATAATTTTATCCTGCGTCGGCGTGGCATATCCCTTAAGAACTTTCAGCCACAATCGCTGAGGAACAGCGAGATGTGCCAGCAGCAAATGCAGAAGCAGCAACTACCCGTGCCACGCCCCCCCCAAACACCCTCGCCCACGCCCATCGAGGAGCTTCCCGAATGGGCTGTGGGGGAGGAGGACAAGAAGCCGAACCACAAGGTGGTCATCTACTTTGGCGACTCCATCCATCGGGGCCAGCAGTCACCGCTGCCGTCGCCCAAAGATCACCTCCACTCGCAGCTGTTGCAAGAGATGTCCCAGAAACTAAAGGCCAGCGAAGGGGAGAGGGCGGTGGCCAAGGCGGACGCGAAGGCGGAGGCGGAATCCACTAACCCAACGCCAGCGGTGGAGCTGCGGACGGATGACGAACTGCCGCCCTACATTGAGAGCGTGCAGAATGGCGTAATTAATATCAGAATTGAAGGCAATTACCGGCGAGCCAGTGCGCTGGTGGAAACGGTGGCAAAACCCACTCTGGCCGTTGTGGGTCCAACGAAATCCGATGCAGCCGTACCTGATAATGGCAATGGTGATGGCGATGATGATGATGATGACGATGATGGCAACAGCGACGGCCCCGGGCAAGATGAGGCGGAGACGGATTCGTGCGACTGGAGCTACGTCCAGGAATGGCGGAGGGCGGCGAAACGGTACTGGGAACTCCTCGAATCATCCGCCATTATTTATTTCCCCATTTCCCAGTCAGCATTTTCCATTTTCCATTTCTATTTCAAATCACATTCAGATGCAGCAATTCTTTTGTGAAAGTTCAGGGAAAAGGGACTTCTTGATTGGCAAAAGGGAAAGGAACTTTTCTTGGGGGTTTCAAAGGGCAGAACCCATCAATTTCGATTGCAAAAGTGTCAATTATTAATTGTCTTTTTAGAAAATTTAATTATCTTTTAGATATGTCCCTGTCTAGACTCTAGAGTCTAGAGTATTATATCTTCTCATAACCTGTCTATAAAAGAAGAAGATGGGAAAGAAGACATCAAATAAAATCAACCTAAAAATCTATAAATCAGTAATAATAAAAAAAAAACACTAGAAAGCTTCTTGGGCAGTTAAACCCAATTCAAAGTTGTCGATTTTAATGATCTCGCATTAGAGATTATGTTTGATTTTATGACTCATAATGTGAAAACAAACAGAAAATCTACAAGACCATCAAAAAAATTAACAAAAAAAAGAAATAAATAAAGAAAAACCTTTTAATGTGGATCATTTAAAGTTTCTTGTTGCCTAAAGCCTATGAAATGATATAATACTTTTCATTAGAATGCAAAAACCCAACCAGAGGTCACTGCTCGAACACCAAAAGCCTAATCAAGTTTCAAGTTCAGAATTAGATCATAATAACAGTAAAACAGTATTCCAATGAAATGCAAAACTTTTAATCATAAATCGTATTTAGCACAGAACATTGTTGAAATCTTAAGAGATCTGTTTTCGAGATATTTGTGACATATTGTCAAGGTGTCTATATATCTCAAAATTTGGGTCAATCGGGGCTCATGTTACAGCATACAGAGGATGGGTTAAGAAATATGCGTGATAACAAAGCTCATAAAGAATGCAAAGATTTCGCAGACTTTTGAGTTTGTCGCATTTAAATAAATAATCGTAACTGGCTTTTAATATCGCTTTTATTTATGTTTTTGTTGTTGGCCAAACCCAGTTAGAAGATGATAATCACGAAGGTTCAAAGAAATGTGAGAACGAATCGTGGGGACGTAGATCAACCCACTTTCAAAAACAAAAAGAGATGCTAGGCGGGAAAGAATATTACAAACCTTTTAATACTCTTATCAAGAGGTTGTTTTTAAGATTTTGTAAAGGGAATAAAAACATGTAAGAACTTTTTTAATAAGAGTAGTTGAATTATGAGGGTCGAATTTTTTTTATAATTTAAATGTAGAGTATAACCTTAACCAAGTCAAAGCATAGGTTTTTTTTAGTTTCTACTTTTAATTAGGTGTCACTAAAGTTCGGCCCGCGACTAACTAGAATTTCTAGTTGGTGTGAACAAAGATTAGCGGCTACAAGTTAGTTAAAGTCTTTTGTTTATCTTGAATGGGATGCTTTAGTTGTGTTTTAAGTGAGCTTCTAAAACTGGGTCAGGTTTTATGACTCAATTTAAGATATTTAACTTCTAAGATATAATATAAGCTTGTGAGAAAAAATGTACCTTATATATTTTTTTTTTCTTTCCAGACCAACTGGCAACTTGCCGCCCAATTTCGGCCAGCACCCGGCTCCAAGCCAAATAACTGGCCTGCCCCCAGTGCCACCGCCACAGTTGCAGTCCCCACTGCAGCTGCAGCAACAGCAGTCCCTCTCGAAGACGCCTCTGTCGCCTCAGCATGGAGGCCCTCAGGGTGGCTTGGCCGTGGCTATGGCCACTCCGGCCCCGCGAGTCTTCAAGGAACTGGCCCATCAGCCGAATAAGGGACTACCCCACAAGGTGGTGAACTCTTCCTCGAACACGGGGCTGGTGACGTCGCCCGTGGCCGCCTCGAAGGCCTTGATTCCGCAGCGGGCAGTGGCCGGTCCGACGCGGCTAACCGTTCAGAGCACTCCGGTAAAATCGCAGCCACCACAGATTAGTGGGAGTCTCAGCCAGACTCAAGTGTCGCCCAGCAGACCCACTTTGGGTATACCTACGACAAACACACCAAGTGGGAATCCATCGCCACCCCGAACTCATCAGCACGATCAGTTTCGGGCGCTACAGCGGGTCCAGGAGTGTCACAGTTCATCGGATGAAAACCGTAGCTCTGGGCATGCCAGCATGTCGGATACTGGGGGACACAGCTCCTCGCCGGCGGGTGGCATGACCCTGGGTCCCCTACCCGAAGATCGACTGGCGGCGGGGGTAACCAACCGAAGCACCAGATCCCGGCGACATCGCAATATCATGCCTGCCGGAAAGGCACCTTGGAGCGGAACTGGACTAGAGGACATCAAGCTGGCCATGCTCACCCTGCGATCCCAGACGAGTAGCAGCACCTACAGTAGCCTGAGTGCTGGGTCGGAAAGCTCAGAGCCAGCGCGCCGTCTGGGCAGATACTCCTCCCTGGAGACGGTGGTTACGAGTACCAGTGCGGACGAGTTTGTGTGGGTAGACTCGCACAACCGACTAGTGGAACTGCAGCACCCGCCGTGGAGTCAGCAGTGCATTCTGCGGGTCTTGAGGAACGGACGCTGTCAACAACAGGCGGAGCACTTGGCCGTGGAGGCGGTCTCCCGCCTGGGTTACCTGCTGCAACGAGCTCTGGTGAGGATTGCCCGCGAAATCCAGCGGTTCTCTTCGGGAGTCGGCCTCTGCTCTAAGCAGGAGGTGGCGGGAGCATTGAAAGTGGTGCTAAGCTCTTCTTTAGCGGACTCCTGCACGAAAGCGTGTCTCCGGGCAGCGGCCATGTTTGCTGTGCCCGGCGAGAGTGCCCTGAAACAGAGCAAGTCCGCTCGAGCGGGTCTACAGCTCTCGGTGGGTAGATTTTATCGATGGATGACCGACGCCAGGCTGGGAAAATTCATCCATGAGTATGCAGCGGTGTATCTCTGTGCGGGAATCGAGAATCTTCTCGAGGAGATTGCTTTGCAGTGCAATGGGAGTACGGCAGCTGCCTTGGACCAGAGTATCTCTAACTCCGGAGATGTCTGGGGTCTCCTGCAGCCATTTGCGCATCTGAATGCCGGCCGAGTGGCCAGCGGTGCTCTGGCACTGCCCAGGTGGGCTAGTGCCGCCTCCCTGGCCACCTGTGTGGGCAGCATTCGGGAGCTGAAGGAAAAGGCAATGCGCACCCAGCAGGAGTTCCACCTGGCCGCTGCTCTTTCCGGCTCTGCTCTGGCAGCCCTATTCTACTTTATGCGCTGCTCCCAGCTAGAGCACACGGAATTGCTGGCCGCCTCCGGCTGTGGCTCTGGACAGGCTGCCCCCACTGCTCCACAGACTGCCGGAGCAGGAGCGGCAGCCGGACACCACGTACAGGAGTTGTGCTATGAGCGGGCCTATGTAGTCCTTCCACCTCTGGCGGAATGGCTGCGAGTGGCAGCCGCTCATGCGGAACACAGGAGCGCTTTGATGATTGACAAGGATGACGTGATGCAGGCGGCCAGGTTGCTCCTTCCCGGCGTAGATTGCCCCATCCGACCAGTGGCTCACGACGAGGAGCTACCCACAAAAAAGATGCACTTCAATCCACCAACTGTCAACTCCACAGGCACGGGAACAGGCAGTAGCTCCAGTTCGCCGGTTGTCAGTGGCATTGGAATCGGCGAGGACACCTCGGAGCTGGGCAGACGAGCCACCATAGGAGTGGCCTTTAAGGTGAGTCTTTTTTTGGCTTTCTCACAGAATTATTAATAATTTTAATTTAAAAATTTCCCACAGCTTCTACTGACTGGTCGCGCGGAATTGTTGGCACAGGCAGCCCAACTGCTGCCCCCAACCACCCGCTACGACACCCAGAATAGCGCCGGACTGACCGCCCTAATGATTGCCAGCATCCGGAACGACGAGGTGGCTCTCCACGCACTCCTCGACGCCGGCTGCGATCCGAATATAGAGGTGCCGCCGACAGGTAGCCCCGGATATCCGGCCATTCAGTCGGACACACAGCACTGGACGGCCCTTAGCTTTGCCGCCAGTAGGGCCAACTACGTGGCCTTGAGAATTCTGCTGGAGAGGGGCGGGAAAGTGGAGGGCGGTGCCAGGAGTAGTGAGGAGAAATGCACCCTAACGCCGCTACAACTCGCTGCTGGAACAGGGAATCTGGAGATTGTCGCCCTTCTATTGGCCCATGGAGCAAATGCCTTCCTATCTACGCAGCAAAAGGATTCTATGTGCTTTGCAGGATCCGCTCAGAAGGGCTGCTTCTGCGCCATATCCGTAGCGGCAGCTCACGGTCATCGTTCGTGCCTGAGAAAGCTCCTAACTCATCCAGTCTCTCCCGGGACAAGAGATGTCCTATCGCTGGAGGAGATGCTGGCCGAGGGCGATGTGGGAGGAGTGAGAGGAGGCGCCGGAGGAGTTGGAGCCGGATCCAGTGGAGCTAGTGCCAATGGCAATAGCGACGATTTGCTTCCGCTATTGAACAAAACGCAGATCAAGCGACTCCAGGAAGCCATGTACCACAGTGCCGAAAATAATCACTTGGGTGAGTAGTTGAAAAGAAATTCTAAAAAATAAGTCTTACAATTTAATTTAGATTAAAACCAAATTAAAAAAAAATTCCATAAACACATCATTTGAAATTCGAATTACTGGCAATGACCGATTAAGTGATTAAGACTCTTTTTAATGATTTTCTAATTCATTTAATCAACTTGAGCTCGTCTTAAAATTTATCAAAATTTTATTTTAAAACCGGATACCAACAGAAACCGTTGGAAGAGTTTTGTTTACAACGTACTTTTTTTTAATTAAATAAAGATTTATTATTGAGGCTTGAATAAAAATAAGCTAACTAATCTACATTTTTACTTCATTCCAGATATAACTATTGAGCTTAGGAAGTTGGGTGTTCCCTGGACTCTGCACTGCTGGATGCACGCCCTCTCGGCAGCCCACGATCTGCGATTGGATGCAGTGATCGACCAGTTGCTCCAGGACTTCCTGCAAGTGTGTCCCGACGACTATAGCGCCCAGTTTGTTAGCGAATGCCTGCCGCTACTCTTCAATATATTCCGAAACAAGAACGAGGGCACCACCCTCCTGCTGGCCGACATCTTTGCCACCTGCTTTGGATGGGAGACCCTTCCTCCTGTCAAGGAACAGCCGCCCATGCAACCCGTCCAGGGTTCTCGGATTGATCCGAAGTTTGTCAACAATCCGGAACTAAGCGATGTTACCTTTAGGTGAGTGGAGGAAGCTCTTTATTGTGTTTCTGTTTAAATATTTAATTATTTTGTGTTTTTTTAGGGTGGAGGGTAAAATCTTTTATGGACACAAGATTGTTTTGGTCACCGCGTCGCCCCGTTTCCAGAGTATGCTCAGCTCCAAGTTGAGCGATGCCAACTCTACGCCCACGGTGCAGATCAACGACATCCGTTACCACATCTTCCAACTGGTGATGCAGTTCCTCTACAGTGGCGGCTGCAACTCCCTGGACGTGGCCCATGGGGATGTCCTGGAGTTAATGGCAGCAGCTAGCTTTTTCCAACTGGAGGGACTACTGCGCTACACGGAGGCCCGCTGCTCGGAAATGGTGGATGTGGACAATGTGGTGGCCATGTACATACATGCCAAGGTGGGTTAACACTCTTTTGTTCAAAGAAGACGTTTAAAGCATTCTTTTTTTTTAGGTCTACAATGCCAACCGCCTGCTGGAGTACTGCCAGTGCTTCCTGCTCCAGAACATGGTGGCCTTGCTCACCTACGATGATTCTGTCAAGCGACTGCTCTTCGCCAAGAAGATACCCAACCACGATGTGCTCGCCGGTCTGCTACAGACGCTGCAGAACCGCCTCAAGACCCGGAAACCCAATTCCGGCGGCGGTCTGGTCAACTCCTATCGATCGCCCTCGGCCACGCCCGTCAAGAAATGAAGGAGTCTGACACCCAATTTCTTATTTATTGCATTGTTTTTAATTTAATCTTTGAGCTTTTTTGTATTATAATAATATTCCCAGCCCCGATCTTGATCCTGATCCCGGTCCAGATCCCGCTTCTTTATGCTTAGTTGTATTTTTTTTAATATATTTTCAAGTTGTTCAGCGCACTGTTAACTTATACGAACCCCAGGTCTGTTGAGTAAATAGACCTCTTAGCTATTATTTTGTAGTTGAAATTGTTTCTGCATTAAATGAAGAAAGTAAAATTACATTAAATAGATGGTGTTTTAAATTAAAAAGATACTTCAACTAAAAAATCAGCTTTCAGTGATTTCAGAGAGAGGAAAAAAATAACAAAAAACAAATTCGAATACGAGTCAAATCCAATTTTTATTAGACCTTTGGGGGCTTTACATAATCCAGGTCTGGTTGAGAAACCTGCTCGCTAACTTGCTTGGCTGCCACCGAGATCTGCGGCAGGATGGCACCTCCCTCCGGAACAAAACCGTGGTCATCGGCCTTGTAGGTCACGGTCACCTCCTTGCCTTCAGCATCGAAGTAGGAGTACGAGCCGCTGATTTCGAGGTATTCATTTTCAGTGCCTTGGTTCCTGACCACCGCCTCCTCGCGCCGGTGAGTGCCGTCCTCGCCCAAGTAGGAAAAGTTGTAGGAGCCATCGTCGTGCTTCTCGTGCGTAGACTCCAATATGGCAATCGGTGGCTGGGTGCTGGAGGCCACATGATCCACTGGGGCACTCAGAACCACCGCCAGGCACACGGCCAACGAGATGATGACCTGAACAAGATGACTTTGAAATGAGGTAATCCTTGGAGTGTATTCAGCAATACTCACGATCTTGAACATGCTGATGTTTCTGGATGGGAAGCTGACTTTGATTTGACTTGGTGCTGGTGCAGACAGCTCTTTTATATTCCCAAAAATATAAATGGAATTGGAATTGAAATCGCTGGTCACCTCGTTGTTTACCGGTTATCTCCCAATATCCAGACGATTACATACACACAGAGTTGTGTTGGACATTGCGACTTTGGGGGGCATTTACTTGAAACCCGTTCTAAGAATTAATTAAAGAGCAAGCTTCTTACCCAGGCCCAGACCCCCATCTGCCGTCTCCCATTGCAATTTCGTTTTTTTTTTTGGGTTGCAATTGAGATTTTTAATTTATGCGATCTCTGGAGGGATGCTCTTATTGCTCAACGAGGAGAGAAGAATATACAATGATGTTAACAAATTAAATTTCTTTTTTTTTTAAATAAAGAATCTTTTTTAATATGAAAAGCTATTTTGGAATGGTTTGCTTTCATTTCAAAAATCTAAGGAAGTACCACTTAGTAAGGTTATACTTGTTCTATTTTAGTTTGAAAATCAATACCTACTTTATAAAGTTCACCAATTCCTAAGCAACTAATACCAAATAATAATAATGGTTTTCTAATTTCAGTAAAATGTTCATAAAGTATTACTTTGTCTATAATTGTCATTAGTAAGTGATCTTGGAACCTAATGATCATTTCAAGTCATCCTATCCCCGCCCCAATTCCCCCAACGTTCAATAGTTCGTTTTCAAATGCAATCGAACATTTTTGGGCATTTTCCAGATTCGATTTTTCTCGAACACGTACACACATAAATGCCATGGAATTGGTTTTCCCGTTCGCAATTGTTTACACTAAAACTATAAACAAAGCAAACACACGGCGTCCGTCTCCGTCTCCGGCGGCACCTCCTCCTGCTCCGGCTACTCCCGCACCACCTCCACCTCCACCCCCTCTGTCTTAGCTGGTTGCCCTCATTGATGTTATTTTTGGCCACTGGGCATGAGGCAGCACTAAATTCTCCATCCTCTCCAGCCGTCCATACTATATGCGCTCCACATAGCAGTCGCTCGGTCAGATGAAGATGTTGTTGGGGGCATATGGGACGGGCTCGATGGGATCGGGCGGTAGAAGGTTGAGGGGCGGAATACTTAAAGGTGCCACATACGCATCGTTCGATTTGGATGCGGTCGGTTTCTTGGCATTTTGTTTATGCAACAATAAATTTTACATTTAATTTTCGTTTCATTTGAAACGCTACAGAAATATCGAAGAATGCCTCGGATTCTGATCGGGTCTGATTGCTGGAGAGGGTGAGGTAATTTGTTAAATTTCACTATACTCGGCCACAAGGAAATCTGGCATTCTTTATATTTCTTTGTTCTGGCTGGAAAATAATTAATTATTAATCGATTCCTAAAAATGCCGGGTTCATTTGGCGCAATTGAAAGATTTAAAACGCGAAAAAACAAGTGAGTTGATTAATGTCTTAGGTTTTTTGATGGGTGGGAATCGTGTATACAAATTTTGAGGAAATATTAAGCTACAGGAAATATAAATGATTCTATTTTTCTTGAAGATGAAAAATCTTTTCTCTGCTTATGTAGATTCCACCAACAAAACTTCATAGTTTTAATTAGTCTGACATAAAAAATCCTGATGAAATGTGGCGAAAAATGAACTGCATGCGTCGTTGGAGCGGTTGACTTTGATTAGCTAGATAATAAATATCGCCGAATGTCCGGCACTCACCTTTATAAAGATTTTCATGATGACATGTTCTAAATTAGACGTTGACGAAATGTTGACCAAACTCATAGTAAATACGCCTTTTTCCCTTTCCTGTCGTTGTTTGAATTAAACGCCAGTAAGCGGAAAAAGACAAATCGACTAGAATTTGAATATGTATATCTTTGAAAAAAGCACTAGACTTGGCCCGAACACATGGCACCCCGATGAGATATGTTAGCTTCTCGTGTATTTGCTTGTTTAGATATTGAATTAATTTAATTTGGTTCGATTGATTTATGGAGCAATCTGTGTGCTGTGTGCTCTGGAAAACTGTGCCAAGAGGCGGCTGCTACCGATGCTGCTACTGTTTCTGTTTCTGATTCTGATTTTTTGATTTCGATTCTGCTGCTGATCGGCTCGACTGTCTAATGATCGAGAGTCTATATGCACATGCCATACGAAAATAGTTTTATTTTTATAACTGTGTGCTGGTTTGGTTTCTTTTTTTATGGACTTCCCCCACATACGCAATGGGATGGACTATGATGATGATGATGCTGCTGATGGCATCTGCCAATGCACACAGCTGTCTTCCGATGCCAACTATATATATTATATATATTTATATTTTCGGTGACATATAAAGATATTTGTGCAAGGAAGTTGTAAACCACTGGGGTGGATGATTCCCCATTATGTTGTGATTTGTGATTTTGTGGGCCACATTGCTGGCAATTAAGTGCTTGCAGATCCCCATCCTACTCCAAAAGCAGGAATCTGCCAGAGAAAATTCTGCGGCCGCAAAGGTCGCGAAAAATAAAGCCCTGTGGGAGGAGTGATTGGGAGGACTGAGGATGGGTGGTGGACGTGAAATAAACAAAAACGACGAGATGCCAAAATCGCAAAACTTTCGACAGTCGCAAAACAAAGACCAAAAAGAAAAATAAAATGAAATTCAGAGAAAAATATATAGGCGGACGTGCGAGTATCTATAGGATAAATAAATAAAACTGAAAATTATGAAAAACAGGCGGCCGTAGTAGGTTGAAACAGCCGCCAGCGACACGAGTGGATTTTTGGATTTTTAAATATTTTTAGCCAAAAGGCAAAAGCGAATATTTCGCCAGTCGAGTGGGATATTGGAAAGATGAAAAATCAGCATCACCCTGGCCAAGTGTGAGTGTGCTATTGTGGGTGTGTGTGGGTATCTATGTGGGTGTGGTGTATATGTGGGGTCTTGGCAACAGTTTGGGGGAAAACGCCCACTTCCGTAGTAAGCCTTCAAACTGTATCCTGTTCCTGTTTTTTTTTTTGAAGATCCTTACTCAACTCCGCACTATATACTTTTTTCAAAAAAACTTTTTCAACTACGTTTTATAATTTTTTGAGATTTTGTGTTAGGATTCGGGATACTTTTCCGGACGTATTAGAAATTTTCTTAAAAAAGCGAACCGTACACGCTGACGCTTCGCGACGCACTGCACCTACGCTCCAAAATTTTGAAAACTCAAAGACATTTCGAAAATTCTATTCCCGAAATGAATGGGCGGGCGTGTGAGTGAGACGGAGTGTTGGCGGGCGACAGAGAGGGCTACCGGAAAATGAAAAGAGAAAGAGCCAGCGTTTCTTCTCTCAAGTGCCGGGGAGGAAGCACGGAGCACGATGAACGATCCCCGCCGAGCGCCGATCCGATCGAAGCGGGCAGGCCAGGAGCCAGGCAATTTATGCTTTTGCTCAATGGCAGCAGATGGGCAGCCCCACCACCCACCGCCCACCATCCACCGCCCACGCCAGCCCCATGGCATAGAAAAATGTGTCTAAAAACGGACAAAAAAGAAATGTTATTAAGAAAGGGGGAAGCCAAACGAAACGAAACGAAACCAAACGAATCGATGAGTGCAGTTGGGCGTCAAAGTTCAAGCAGTTTTTGCAGTCGAGCGGGGAACATGGTACATTTCGATGATCGGCTGTTTAGCCTAAACATGGCCGCGCCGGCCACACCCAGTCATCCAGCATCCCCCCTGCCAGTATACCGGGTCCGGTCTTATGTTAGTCAGCCGGTGTATCTGTCAGTTGGCCGGGTGAAAATAAACAACAAAGGGGGGAAATACACGAAAAAAATGGAGAAAAAATATAAGAATAGGAGAGCCACGAATATGAACGTTTTTATTCTCTAAACATTCCTGCGTGTTTATGTTCCTTTTTTTTTTGGCTTAGGGCGGAACTCAAGTGCTGGGCCCCCACCTCCGCCTCGTGTTCCGCCTGCGCTTCTGTTATAGGAAACCAGATTCTGAAAAGATTCTAAAACGCTTAGTTAGGGCTCCCTATGTAGTCGGCTCCCTAGCCGGCAGCCGGCTGCCCCCTCTCCTGATTTTCCATTTAACTTTCTCTCACATTGTAAACATTTCACTTGACGCTTGATGCTAAATTTAACATTTTCGCCTTCGGGGCAAAACAGGCAAATAAATTACGGAAATAAACAAAAATGAGGAGCAGTAGCGGCACCACCAATAGCCACAACTAACCAGAAAAAAAACCTAAAGTTACCTGGCTCTTTGAATTGCGGTTCCTATTTATCACTGACGGAGAATTCTAGTGATGGAGAAAATGATGTGATGAGCAGGAATGGGAAATGCATGGGTGGCGAAAGGGCAGGAAATAGTTGTAAACAAACGCCGGGGTTCAAAAGGGGTCGTCTCCCTTTCGGTTCGGATCGGTTTGGGATAATCGACTACAAACATTAAAAAAATTATGTAATTTCTGGCATTAGAGTTCAACAAAGTACTCACATAGTAAAGTAATGGAAAATCATTGATATTAAAGACTTTGTGAGAAATTTGTCATAGTATATTTTTTTACTTACTCCTCCGACAAAAATTTCCAATAATATTTCATTATGGGTGAATATGGCGAACTTGTGGAACCCCAGAGCACCATGGAGTCCATAATCGACAATCTGTTCACCCGATTAAGGCTCATTGCCGTGGACGTGGAGAAGGTGCAGCGATCCAAGGAGTTCCTGACCACCATGCAGCGACGCAGCACATTCCTGCGGCTACTGGGTCCTGCGGACGACGACAGCATCCACCGGGAAAGCGAACTGGCCTTGCTGCACACCAAGTTCTCGTTGAACTCGAACTTGTACGGAATGATGGACGCCTTGGATGAGGACATCGGAGACGAGGAGATGAGTGAGGACCTGTGCCAAATGTCCTTTGAGGAGGATCGCTGGCATAGCTTTTTTCCGGGATTCGAGATCCTAAATAGCCCAATGCCCAGCGATCCCAATGAGAGCCGCAAGTGCGTGGAACTATCTGTACTGACACCCTGCGATCGGGAAATCAAGGCCTATCTAAGTGAGTCTGTACAGGATTAAAGAGAGTTTCATAACTTGTATCCTTTTTAGTTAACGGCGTCCGCTGCTTCATGTTGAATCTTTTCGTGGGCACTCAGCGGGACAACCAGATGCTGATCGTTAGGCTCCGGGAGGCGGAGATCTGTGTGTCCAGGGAGTTTGGCTTCCCGGTGGCGTCCTCCATTGTAGCGAAAATGACCCCCCGCCACCAGTACACCGGCTCATTCAGTGCCCAGTATCGGCACGATGGTATCTTGTCTGTGGAACTACCCAAGAATCACAAGGTCGAACTGTCCGTGGACCGGGAGTACTCCGATCGGTGCACCATCGACATCATTTACGTAAATGCACGTTTCCTGCTCATCGACGTAATGAAATACGACTACATTCTGATCGGCGATGACATCCAGCTGGTGGTCAAGGAAGTGCACGCAGATTACCTTGACTGTTGCGTCGTCAAAGGCGGTACCCTTACTGCCCACATGCCGGTGCTTTTCCCTTCCAGATGCCGGCGCTTTAGGGTGTCGTATGAGGAGCTGGAGGATCTGACATTTGCCCGTGAGGTGGGCATTAATGTGGTGATTAGCCATATCGTCGGCACCCCGGCGTATATGAAAAATCTGGAGGAGGCGATGCTCACCATGCATTGCGACGGCATGCGGCTATTTGCCAGGGTGGTGCTCAACGAGATTCAGGGCTGCGACGGAGAGCTCAACTGGGCCACCAAAGAGTACGATGGTTTTCTGGTAGAGCTCGCCTTGCCGGAAAAGGTGCCGGACATAATGCACCTGTGTCCCAACGCCGAGTGCTTCATGCAACTGGCCTACGAATCCAAAAAGCCCATCCTCTTTAATCCGGCTTACATAGATCAGCAAATACTGAGAGTGGATCCGGAGCACTACTACTACACGTTCTACTACCCCGACAAGTATGTCGTGCCCTGCTTCCATCCCAGCCCAACCCGTTACTTCAGCTTCCTGCAGAACGCAATCTTTGAGCAGATTACCCCACAGGCTCTGGGAAAGGCCCCGTACTGCGATCGATCCCACACGGGAGCGGACACCTTGGCCCGTGCCGTGGTTACGGCCGCCATGGAGGTCCAAGCAGCGGCGATTATCGTGATCGGTGTGACCCCAAGAATGGTCCAAAAGATCTCCCACTTTCGGCCACATGCGCCCATTCTGTTCGTCAGCCACATGCGTTCCGCTGAGGACTATGTGTCGGTATTCTTCAATGTTACCATGCTTTCCTTCCGCACCAAGAGCTTCATCACCCACCAGAGGAACATCTTCCGGAAGGCCATCTATGCTCTGGCCTATCTTCTGAAGCGGAAAACGGTCAAGCAAAACGACAAGGTCATCATGGTGTACAATTTCGAGGAGCGTACCACCTTTCCTGAGAAGTATATCATTTACAAAGTGGACAAGAACCACTTCCCCAGGCACATGGCAGAAACGCTCTTCCCTACGGACAGGGAGCAGAAAAAGGACTCCCTCAAGGACATCGAGCCTTTGAAAGAGGGTTGAGTTTAATAATTTATTTGGTGTTTGGTGGATAATCGGAATGTTAATGTGTTTGCTTAGAATATACAAAAACAGATAAGATAAATACACGTGGGGATAATAGGGATACATACTCGCAAATATTTTCTACGTCGATCAGCTCCTGTACACGATCATAGCTCGCTTAGGCTTATGAGGGAGTTGGGTCTTTTGGGGTATATACACATTATAAACGGGCAAGCTACGTTTGTGGTTGCCCAAGTTCCCTTATCGAAGCTCAACAAAGCCGACAAGGTGCCTTATAATACTTAGGACTAAGGCTAAAGCAAATCTAACAAAGCATTAACATTTTCCTAGGCTTGTAAAGTATATATAGAAAGGATTCATTTGCTAGATTCGCTTGAGTTTTAAATAATAATGCAACCTTGAGCAACCAATCGATGAAAACATCCAATTAAAAACAAAAACAAAATTAAACATTACAGCAGGCTGCCACTCAAGGGGTCTTTTGCAGAGCCCGCAGAGTAACATGCTCGTAGGCGGCTTTCAGTGTGGTGTAGCAGTAGCCCGCCATTCCGTTCATCTCGGCCTGGAAATTGGGGCCACCCGTCAGATCGTCCAGCAGGGCCAGCTCTGCTCCCAAATGGGGAACTGCAGCACGCAGCATAGTAAGCATGGTCAGCGGTATCATGTTATCCGCATTAAGCTGGGCAGCGTTGGCTAAAATGATAGAAATTAATTGTAGGATACGCCACTTGGATTCTGTAGCTCCACTATTCCCACCTGCCATAGCATGCTCATAGGCTTCCGTCAGTAGTTGCGTGCTGCGCTGTATCACAGTCAACATGTCCTGGGGACTAAACTTCTCCTGCAGTTGCTTCAATGTCTGCACCGACTCCTCAAACTTGGGATCCAGCATCACAGTGTGCAGGAAACTAAAGGAGAAATCATCATGGATGAAGGATTCATTTTCAACTACGTTAGGTAACCTACCTCTCATGGCCCATGAGTTCAACGAGTTCTTGGTCCTTCAGCTTCTCAGCATAGTTTAGATTTTGCCTGTACATCTCGTCCTTGCGACTGTACTTGTTCGCGTACAAAACAAACAGGGTGGAGTATATGCCTTCGGAGAGTACCAGCGGGTAGAGCAAAGTGATGTGAGAGATTACCTCTCGGCTGACCTCCATGTGGCAGTAGTCCTCCGGCAGAGCGGGAAACATCTTGCGAATAAAGCGGTAAATGCGACGTGATATAGACTCCCACTCCCGCATCGCCTGCTTGGCCAGGATTGGCGTGGGCTTCACCTTCCAATACCCGTAGGAGTAGTGGAAACAATTCGCTATACGTTCATTCAATGCGTACAGAGGATGGTGACGATCTTTAAAGGCCTGCTCTAAATAAAGCCGTATCGAGGCCACATCCTGCTCTGTAAGGGTACTAGCCATGCCGAAACTTGGCACTTGGTCGAGCATTGCACTGGTCGATGTTGTCGAGGTAATGGAGCTATCGCTGTTGTTCATATGCTTTGATATGCTATTGTTATTGTTGGTGGCAAAGGCCTCGTTGATATTGGTAGATTCATCGCCATTGAAGGTGCTGTTTAGCAGGCTCTGGTCTAACTGGAAACTAGCCAGGCTGCCTGTATCCAAATCCCGCGACGAATTGTGACCCATGGAAAGCAGACTGTCCGCCCGCTGCAGGCCACCCGGCTTGCTGTTTAGCGTCTCCTGGGAGTGAATGCGTCGCGGTGGAAAGTCCAAGAAGTTCAGGACCGTAGCAGCCTCCGACTGTAGCTTGTTCAGGGTGTTCGTGGTGGATCGCGCCTTGGCCAAGGGCGACGAAGTCTTTTGCGGCAAGGGTAGGCTGAGAAGGATGTTGTTGAAATAGTTTCCCGGCTTCGAGCCCTCTCGAGTTCTCTGCTTGCTCATGTACACGGCAATGCAGTTCCAAATCTGAGCCGTACTCAGCGAGGTTTTCGAGGGTTTCCGGAGCGTGCCGCCTGCTGCTGATTGATTGCTTCCAGGGTTGCTGGCCGTACAGTTAGCCAGGTCGGATTCAAAGTTGTGAAACAAGGAACGCCACTTGCGATTGTGATCCACCACTTGGCGGCCCAAGGAGCTACAACAATAATATTAGTACATGTTCTTTAAAAATTCAGTAATCCTCTCACCTGGGATACTTTGGAAACCGTCTATTGAGCACCAGCTCTCCTGCCTGGATGCGAACTGTCTCCCAACTGCCGCTCAGTTGACCGAACATCTTGTTTCCAATCAGTTCACAGCAGTCATCAGCCTCGCCATTGGCATCCACAGATCCACTACTAGCCCCTGCGTCGCTGTTGGGCATATAGTACTCCCCGCGACCATTAGGACCGTGGAGCGTCAGTTCGCCCTCATAGTAGTAGTCATTCTCGAAGACAGCCACCCCATTGCCCACCAGATCGTCGCCGGCAAAGTTGCCCTCGAAGTAATCGCCATGATTGGTGATGCAATTGCCGATTCCAGACCGCTTGTTATCCACGAACATGCCCATGTACTTGTCCCCCGTCACTAGGTCTTCCATTACTCCATACCCACTCCTGGCATTGGCCTGGTACTCGCCCACGTAGATGTAGCGATTGTTTCGCATCATTCCGTGGCCATGAAACAGCCCCTCGCAAAAGTTACCCTCGTATACTTCGCTCTCGGGTGAATCCTTCGAGTGGATTTCGTAGACTCCATGTCCGTGAAAGCGCCCTCCCTTGAAGTGGCCGACGTAGAGTCCCGACGAAGGAATCACCATCTTTCCGTAACCTGAAATTCGAATTTATTGAGAATATGAAATGGAGCTTCGAGCGGTAGTTCTTACCTTCGATGACTCCTTGGTGCAGTTCCCCACAATAGACACTTCCATCCGGGTACTCCAAGTAGCAGTTACCGTGCAAGACACCCTTCCTCCAAGTACCACAAGCTTTCACCCGGGAGAATTTGGGATGTTCCCGACTAAATTCATAGCCTGTAGAACGTGAGCTAGGAACTGGACTGCCCAGAGGTCTCCCAAGGGCTGCCACAATGCTCGATTGCAGCTGGTCCTGCCATACTTTTCGCATCTCTTGCGTACGCGTGGCCACCACTAAGCTCTTTTCCGGAGTCGTCAAACGAAGGCACATGTCACCCTCCGACCAGACCCACAAAGTGGTCAGGGGATAAGAGTACAAGGAGGTACCGCTCACTTGGCAGAGAAAGTCGGAGAACAGAATGAAGCTGTTGCTGGACACTCTACCGATACCCGAAGTAACCAGTTTTAATGGCACCAACGTGGAGGTCAGAATCACACGTCGCTGACGTCGTCTAAACTGCACTATTCTGGGATTCCGGTCATTGCTGCTCCAGAAATCCCTGGTGTTCACTGCCAACTCCTGGCTGATGCAGCTAAGACGCGCGAACTCCGCCCAGGCAACTCGGTGCTCACCGTACTCCGGCTGCGTCCTCACCAGCAGCTCCATAAACTGCACAAATAGCTGATATATGCTGAAGGGTTGCTGGAACAATCTGGTGACATAGCTCTCCTCGTTCAGCTCCGCCAGGGGGCTGTTCAGGCACAAAATGGAGGCCACCGCTTCGCCAAATCCATTCACGGAATAGATATCGCAATATGCCTTGGTGTAGGCATCGAAGAGATCGATGTACTCCTTGTGGTGGCAGATAAACAGCAGATCCGCGGGCTGCACAAAGTCCGCCCGGTAGAAACCCTCCAGTGAGTGCAACGTGGCCACCAGCAGGCACAGCATCCGGTTCCAGCTGACCAGCAGTGGGCCCAGGGCGCTGAGTGCCTCCAGCGCGGATTGACGCTGCCAGATTTCGAGAGTTTGGACTGCCTGGCGATGCTTCAGGAGCAGCTGCAGCTGCGATTGAAGGTGGCTCAGGTAGTAGTGGTACTGCCGCTGGAACTGCCGATGGTTTTGAAGTGTATATCCACCGGAGCACATGAGGAGTCGCAGCTGCTGGGGCCATGCCGCTCCCAGTTGAAGTTGCAGCAAAGTTTGGGCAAAGGTGCTGGACTGCTGCAGGTGCCGCAAGGGCGGTGGCGGCTGCAGCGATTGGACTTGTCCCTCCGCATTCAGAAACAGGGTTTGGTAATCTCCGCAAGTGGCCTCAAGGGCTGATTTCTGCTCCGGCGGCAGATAGGCTGCTTGATCCGAGATGGTGATTTCCATGGGCGAGCTCACATCCTCGCCCAGCTGCTGGTGAGTATTTAAGCCCCAATGATAGAGGCGGCCGTCCAGGGTCCTGGCCACAGTATGCTCCAGTCCGGCAGCAATGCTGCAGACACCCATACTGTCTAGCTTCTGAAGTCGCGCCACATTTGCTCTTCGGATATGATCTCCTGTTCCAAGTAGGCCATTGTTCGATGCTCCAAAAGTGAATATTTGAGTGTGGAGCAGGGCATAGCCCTGATGCAGCAGATGCCGTGTATTCGCTGCAAAGCTTCGTTCCGAATTCCCGCTGCTTAGGGATTTAACGGAGGCACGTTCGTCCTCAGCATCGTCTTTGCTGCTGGCCACCGGCAGCTGGAGCACATCGTCCGCAATGTTATATGGAGCCACCAGCATCACAAAGTGTTCGTTGCCTGCGGCCAGATCGAGCAGTTCCTTACCCTCCTCGTAGAGCCGCATGTGACGTGGCTGTTTCTCCGAGTTAAAGACCTCTCCACAACTGCCCATCACGTAAGTTTCTCCGGCTGAGCCCACGAAGACCACTCCCTGGGTGGAACAGCAGACTCTTCGGATACGAACACCCTCAGCCAGCAGTTCCAGGGGATCGAAGCTGAGTGTCTGCCAGGTGTGCGGATGGTGGATTTCTCTGCCAGATCCCGTAACCACCTGTCGCTGTACTGAGCCATTTGTGAGCACCACGAAGAGTTCTTGGCTACCTGAGCAAAAGTCTATATCCAGGATATCCGTGCGCAGGAGTTCCAGCTCCAGAGAGCTACGATTAGCCTGCAAGTGGGCGGAGTAAAGGGCGTGGTCGGTGGTCAGGAGGAGCAATGACTCGCCTATACGGCGGATGCAAGATGCGGGCGATCTTGTCAAGGGAGGCACTCCACGCCAGTGGAGCTGCAGGCGTTGACCTTCGTAGTATATGTCGAAGGACTCCTGATCGCCGGAGGTCGTTGCATCCGCTTCACTGGCCATCATCGTGCCTGAGCCCGAGTTGTTGTTGACTTTCTGGCCAGCCAGGCCAAGGTTTTGTAACACGACGCAATTGAAATTGCACTACAGGATTCTCTCACATGCTGCACCCTATCGAATTAACGCTATGCTTCCGATCGATAGCCGTACATTATATCTTTTGGATCGGAACGCGGTTTGGGTTGTCAATGGGCGAAAAAGTTGATTTTTCGCTTGTTATTAAGTGGCTAATACGTTTTCATGTTTTTGTGATGATTTTGTGGTCTCTTTAAGTGTGGCCAACGCGCGTTAATTCCAATCAGAATAAAATATATACCAAATATAGAAATTTCCTTATCATAACAATTATCACCTCGTCGATGTAAAAATACGCATAAAAAAGCAATTAAAACTTAATTTAAATAAAAGTCATAGTGTTTAATAAGCAAAAACAATTATAAACCATTCTAAATTCGTCACCAATATTCAGGAATTCGTCACTAGCGTGGAATACATAGTATTTTTATCACACAAAGTATTGTTATCAATATCGCGTAAGGTCATACTGATTTCATCGTCAGCTGTTTTCCCAAGAAGTTTTCTGTTTATTTTGCTTAAAATGTAGTTTTTGTTTATTGTTTTTGAATTAAGTAAACCAACACTCTAATTCAGGGGGAATCGGCGGTCCAGAAAGCTTATCTCGAGTATAAAAAAAGTAAGGTAATCGCCTTCAAATAATTTGCATACGCCCACAAAACATGTTTGTAGCCATGAACTCACCCCCCACAAAATAAAATTCTTTGCAGCTCGAGAGAAAATGGACGCACCCTATTTGCCAGACGACTCCGGAAACTTCAGCTTCACCAGCGACGATGGAAGCTCCACGGGGGGCGATGCTGGGCCGAAACAGGAGCCGGAATCCATGTTTCTTGTGCGCCAGGAGCTACTGAGATCCCGCAGCGAAGTTGAGCGTCTCCTGAAGTCGGAACAATGGTACAAACAGGAGCTAAAGTCGCAAAAACACAGCCGGCTGGAGACTCTGGAGCGCCTGTACGCCCAGGAGCGAAAATATCTGGTGGAAAATCAGAGGCTGCAACAGGAGGCCACCCGTCTAAATGCAAAATGTGCCACGCTGGAAAATCAGCAAGAACAGGGACAGCCCAGGTCCCCAAGTATATCTGTGCCCAACACGAATGACTCAGATTCTACAGATGGCGCTTCTTTTGAAGCGAAACAGCAAGAAGCGCGTCTCCGGGATCAGCGCCAACTGATAGACGTCCTGCGAAAGCAGAAGAAGATGCTTCTGGAGGACATACAAAGGCTAAGTCTCGAGCACGACGAGAAGCTGATACAATTGCAGCAAACCTTGGCGGGAATGGAACTGGAGAGCAAACACATGACCGGAAAATGCAAGCAGTTGCTGGAGGAAAAGAGCCAAATGGAGCATCAATTGGCGCTGAGAAGCACCGCCTTGCGAGGTGTCACCGCCGAACGAGAACAACTCCGCCAGGTCATTGCCGAGCTAAATGAAACGCTGCAAACCCAAGAACATCTGCTGGCCCTCAAGGAGCAAGAGTTCCTCGATTTGAAGCAGTACTACCAGCAAAAGTTATCCCGGGAGAGCAGCGTAGATCTGATGCACTCGTATAGCCTCAAATTTCACGAGGAGATCAACAGCAAGACAAGTGAAATAGCCAGTTTAAAGAACTCCCTCAACGAGCTTCAGGCGGAGTTGGTTATGATGTCTCAGCTGAAGGAACAGAACGAGGAACAGCAACGTCAATTAGAGCAGCTAGAATTTACATTGCAAGCTCAGCTTCTGGAGCAGGAGCAACTACGGCAAAGCGATGCGCTTAAACTGGAGCAGGTGGAAAATTTAAGTCAGTCTATAGTTTCATTAGAGCTGGAAAAGGAAACTCTTAAAGAAAATCTTCAAGCGGCCCAACGTAAAATTACGAAATTGGAAAAAGAAGTCCAAAGACTTCATCATCAATATACGGAGATGAGGACTTTATGCGAAGAAATTAAAGAGCAACTGAAAAGTGAGAAAAAATCCATGGCAGAACTCCAAGAAAAGGGCTCTATTAAAGAAAACGAGCTATTAAACAAGCTGAAAGAATATTCGGATCAGTGTAGTCAACTTAGAGAGACATTATCCGTAGTAGAGTCTCAAATAAGTGACCACAACAAGCAGGCAGAGGTTTGGCAGAATAAGATAAAAATAATGGAGGACTCCAAGCATCAACAGGAAAAGAGGAACTTCCAAAATCAAGCCATCCAAACTGACGGTGATGATCCCATTCTACTCCAACGGATTGAGGTTTTGGAAAAGCAGCTATCCGATGTCAAGGCCCAAAAACAGCAAACTGTTGCCCTGCTCCAGAAACTACTCCAGCAACAGGATGCCAAAATCAAGAGCACCAATGAAATGGAGGCCGACTGGCTGCAGCTTCTCGAAACCCTACAAGCCACTCAAAAACTAGAGCAGGACATGCGCTTGGAACTTCAGCAGAAGACCGTGGAACTGGAGCAACTAAACGAACTCTTTGCTGACCAAAATGAGGAGCTGCTAAAACTTCAGAAGTTGAGTCTAGCCAAGGACGTAGAAAATAGGTTGGAACTGCAGCTATTAAAGGAAACATTCCAGGAGAATCAGGAGATCCACTCCACTGATTCTATGAACATACAAAGGCTACAGAGTCAAGTCAAGACATTGCTTGATGAGCGAGAGGAAAACGCGCGGCAGGAGCACAGGGCGGTAGACTGCCTCAGGTCACTGGCCCAAGTGCTCGAGGTGGAAACGGGTAGGCGGCTGCAGAACATCAAGTGTTGGCCCCAACTAGCCAAACTTTTGCGCAAGGAACTGCGAAGTGGAAGAGTCCACCACCGCAAGGCCGAGGAGTTGCCTGGACTCAAGCTAAAGCTGGCAGAAGTTAGTGGCAAGCACGAGCAGGCTATGGCCAGGATTAAGGTAAGAAGTCAGCCCTTTATCTACTATAAGTCTAAAGGTTATATTGAATTTCAGCTTTTGGAGCAAACTCTAGCTGCAGAGCGTCTGCGTTTTGAGGCCTCCGACTCTGGAAAGTCAACAGCGAGCACCACACCGCTAGAGCCCGCACATGAGGTTGCTAATCTAATTGACGACTACAAGAAGGTATTCATTTAGAACTGGATTTACTTTGACTTAGGTTTCATGAAACTCCTCTTCTGCAGCTCGTCCAACAAACCGCAAGGGAGACGGGACGCCCACGAAACAGCCACATCCTGGAGCTGATCGAACGTAGTCAACGGTGCCATCCAAATTTGTGCCAATTAAGCGAAGGTGTCCTCGCCTGTCGCTCCGATGTAGAGCAGCTGAACAAGCTGCTTTCCGCCGCTCAGAGGGGTACTGGGGTCATGCCCTCCCTGATGGAAGAACTCCGCGCTGTAACCGAACATTCTTAGTGTGTTTGTTGTGAGGCCTAGCTTCCATTTTCACAAATTTGTCTAGAAGTACTTAATATGTTCTGTCTCGAATTTGTTTATTTCCATTTTGTGTTCCAAAGGTGCAATCTTTGAGTCTAAATTTGTGTTTAACCTAGTCCCTAGTTTTAAAATCCCCTGAAGTTCTACTTAGTTGAATTTTTCTATAGTTTTTTTTTTTGTATTTTTGTATGAATATGTTTAAAAAGTTTCTGTTTATTTAATGTATAACTCATAGTGCTTTAGTTATAAGTTCTTGAAATGATTTTCTTAGTCAAATTTTGCAAATATATCCTATATATTTTGTGTTATTCCTATTATACTTATGTAAACATTTTTTGTTGAAATAATTTATCCAAGTTCTTTAAGAAACTCAGATGCCAATATAAAAGAATATATTTTCACAAACATATACATGATACATGATCCGTATTTGAGGTCACAAAACAAATATATTTATTTTTATAGCCAATATTGAAATTAAATTAACACAAATAAATTAAATGTGTCAAACTGATAAACAAATTCTGGGATTTAGTTTTTATTGGGACACCTGGGAATCCGATTTCCTTCGAGCGTTATAATGACATCTTTCTCTATTTTGGCTATTTCGCCCTCATCGTTTAGATCCAACACTTCTTGAAGTTGGGTTTTCTTGCTGACAGTTGCTCCACAAATGATCTTTTTCTTAATATTCCTACAAATAATGACAGCATCATAATCCATCTTTAAAATTGGCGCCAAAGTTTTCATAACCGAACAGGATGTTGTAACTTTCGCAGGGCAATTGACGCCATTACATTTCCAGTTATCTAAGATCAGAATACAATTTAAGTTTTAATTAAAAAATTATTTAACTTTTTACTACCTTTGTCTCTGCTAACATTTATTTCTTTCATATCAGGACTGGCGGTAAAGCTTGTGTCTCGTTCCTAAATACTTATTTGATTTCAGGAGGTATTTTAAAGAATAATTAATATTTAATATTACCACACGACCACATTCTCCAAGTATCGATAACGATATAATAACCTTTATTATTAACAATACTACAGCTTTCATTTTTAAACTTGACTCTTCTTATTACAAAAAGTGACTGGAATTCTAAAAAATTAGTTAATATAATATATACGCTTTTTTCAAAAGCATTTTAGTTTGGTTTGATTTGTGACAAATTACTTAAACTGTAACTAAGTGTTACAAAATATAAATAGTCTTAGAAAATAGTGCTATCCTACATTTTTATGGAATTTTATTTTATGGTTTATTTAATGCCCTTTGGGAATCTCCCGTGAATGATGTAAGCTGTGGCAAATCGATTTTGTGGCTTCATCCTCAATCAGAGACGGCGGCAATCTTTTTCTTTTCACTTCGAATATATTAAAGGAAGCCACCCGACACCGCCCTTGGCATTGTCAACGCCTGGCCTGGGAGCAGGATCGGCTTGGAGGCGGAGTGCAGGCCACTTGGGTATTGATAAATGCGTTGAAAACTAAGCGACCGCCCAGTGGATTACCATCCCTTTTTCCCGATCCCCATGGCCTCCTGCCATAGACTCCTCGCGACCGGAGAGGAGCACCCCCCGCAGCCGGCAATGGAATGAGGAGCAATCGACCACAATCGCTGGTCAAATTCAATTGGCGCAATTTTTCATCTGCGGCTCCAAGGGACCCGATCTGGCGGATCCTTTTGGGCTTTTGCTGGAGCGCTGCTTCTGCTGCTGTTACTGTGGCCGTCTATTGTTGCTCTGGGCTCTGGCAATTGTTCTCGAGTCTGGATCTATCTGAATCTTTTGGAGCTATAGTACCATGCTATGGTGCTGCAGAGCCCCAGCCCTCTGCTCAAGGTTGTTTATTTTGAAAAATCACCATCACCCGATCGTGGCCTGTGCCGACGGCTGGGGATTTAATTCTACGCTGGACATTTATAAATTGCATTCAATTTATACACAACACGAAAGCGTGATTTTTACATTTTTACAAACTAGCGAATAATAGATCAGCGTCGTATTATTGCCGACTCTTCACAGCAATGCTCTCCGAAAGGAATCGAATCTTTTTTTGGGTCTCCAGATTGGATTATGAAAAAGGTTTTGACCCGAAAGGAGGAGTACATCCCAAAGGGGATACCTGGAATTTCATATTTAAGGTCTTCAGAATTTTATAAAATTTATTGTGTGTTTTGTATTTCATCTTTAACCTAATAGTATTTAAGAATTTTTTTAATATTACAGACAAAAGCTTTAATATCTATATCATTTGTTCCTCACATTTCTCTTCAATTAAAAGTTCTTAGTATTATAAAAGACCACTTTGGCTCTATTATTTAAAATTTAAATACCTTTTTCCTATTCTCGACCCTTGAGATCCCCTTGAGATGGTTCTTCCTCCCAACAGAGTTGACCAACCGTGCTTTGTCCGTCCAAGGGTATCATTTGATTCGATGAGAGTGCTTTTTGTTGTACTTTTCTTTTGGGGTTCTTTGATTTCGGTGCTGTTCTGTGTATTGAGATGGTCGCTCATTAAAGCTGAAGGAGCTGGCAGGGGGCAAGTGGGGACTGGGGATGCTGGCCAAACAAAAGGCATAAACATTTAATTCTCACCAAAGCGATTGACGATGTCGATGTCCGTCCATTTGCCTGTCTGTCCGTCTGGGGGATACGATCCTTCTTCTTGGCCTGGGTCGCTCGGATGTTGGTTAGGTCTCGAGAGCCAGTCCTAGTGCCAAATTGCAAATGCAACTTGTTAACCTTGAAAACCGAACGGACGGACGGACACGCGGACAGATAGTCAAGGAGCCTCAACCTCAGACCCGGCACAGTATGAGGCATTTAGTCAGTCGTCGTTGTTGTTTTTCTGATATTTGTTGTAGTTGTTGTTGTTACCACTGCTGGGGCAGTTGTTGTCCGTCTGCCGATCACTCGTTTGTCTAGCTGCTGCCCCCAGCTTAAGTCCTTATACACTGAGAAACAAACACTAATGGGTCAAATAATAAAATTACTTCTTTAAAAATCTTTTAAATTCTATCTATTAAGTTTATATCTCATGCACAATTTTTACTACCTTTTAAAATATACCGTCTCAAAATGTTGACTGTTTTATCTCAGTGTACCTAGCATATTGAATAATGCGTTTATGGCCAGATGAATGACACTTCATACATGCGTCTGGTCTGTCCCTGGAGCAGCAACTCGTAACTTGCAACCTGCAACGTGCAACTGGCAACTAGCAACAGAGGCTACCGAGGCCACAGCCAAGCCTGCCTCCTGGTGGTGCATATTTCATGCGTAAACTTTGGCTCGGGCATCCGCCACTATTCGTCATCTGTGCCGGGCCATGTCAGTGTTGTGTTTGAAAGAAATTCGTTTAAATTGTCAATTGTCTGGGGTCCTACGGCTCCTGCTCCTGCTCCATCTTCTGTCTTGGCTGCCGGGCTGCTCTACAGACGAGGGGAACTGGTTTGCAGCCACTCCTAATGAGGCGCATCAGCGAAAAGTCAAAATGGAAAAAAAATAAAATCGAAGTGAGGAACGAAACGAGCCAGACCCGAACCCTTTTAGCATTCAGCCGTGATGGTTGGTGGCCCCCACAGTGGCTGCCTGGATTTCTGGATTTCTAGATCCCAGGGCCTCGGTGCGTTTGCATTAAGCTGGCCAGGCACATTAAAGTCGAGTCAACTTACCCACATGCGAGCGGCATGTTTAGTGCCCTGGGTTCTCATACCCATACCCATATCCGTACCCTAGCCCATTCCCATTCCCGATTCCCATTTCCATTCCCATCCTACTCCCACTCCCACTGGTGGGGGCCATTTCCATTCTGATTTGGTTTAAGATTCGGTTGCGGATCGGATCCTGCTTACTGGGTGTTGCAATGTCATTCCCTGCATTTTATGCACTCGCCGCACTTTACAGCCAAAGCCATAAATAAACTTGTATCTTTAAGATAGTAATAGTCGTAAAAAATCAGCAAATGACCCCGATCCCCCAGCCCATCTCTTACGTCTAAGCTGCGTGAGAGCTTTTAGCCAACCTGGAGTTCTGAGGGACGTGGAATCAAACTCACAGAATCATCAAAACCATCTGCAAAACATGTGTAAGTTGCAATATTAAATTTTATATTTAGCGCACGACTTTGTGCACTTTTTTCTTTTCTCTATAAAAATTTTTGCATACAATGAGATGATTTTCGAATCGTGATTAAGGCCCTCAACTAGAAGGCAAACAATCTTGGTCATTAAGAAGATCTCCTGACGGGTTTAGCTTAGCTTGGTTTTTCAATATTCTGATGCCGATATCACAGCAACTCATTGCCCTCGAATCCACAATGATGAATTGTAATCATAAAACCACTTTAAAATTTTTCTCCTCATATCGAAAGTCATTTAAATTAAAATTACACATTTCTCTCTCTCTCTCATGTATCTTTCGTTTTAACTACATTATTTATAAGATTTTTATTATCACTCCTAACAAGCCTCGTCTTAACTACACACCTTTCTTTTAACATAAATCATAATTATGTTCAACGCCCTCCACCCTTTTCATTATTGCGTTGAAGATACATCTCAATGAACCTTTAATGGCCAGCTATGTGGGCACATTTCAATCTTCGTACCAACGCTGCTGGAACACTTTGACCCAATTCATTTCAATTCAATTCAAACAATTCTGAAGCATTTAAAAGCCAGCCATAAAAGGCAGACCAAATGGGTTTCTTCTCCGTTGGCCAGAACTCTAGACGGTAGTCGGTTCGTGGAAGATCATAAAAAATAATTAAGAAGTTGGAACTTGGAGTGATGTGGCCGTTTCTCGCGGTTAGGCTTAGTTATTTAGATTACAGATGGTGTTGGTTTTATTTTATTCTTTATTTATAATAAATTTACAATTATGCTATAAAGAATTTAAATGGCTTACAAGGCTTGTTGTTTGCGTTTGCCTTAGTTTATTTACTTTTAAACAAGACGAAGCTTAGAGTATTCTCTGACACGCTGTGGGAAATCTCACCATTATTTGGACCATGGTTATTTAATCAATGGGGGCTCAGTTGCGTGTTCTCCACATAAAAGGGTAGACACTCCAGCGTGCGCTCAACTCCCAGCATCAATACGGACTTTGATTTTGGTACATTGATCTTGGCCCTTTACGAAGTGCGTTTCGAGTTGTGCTGAGAGGAGAGGAGAACCGTTAAGATCCACGGATAGCAAACAGAATCAATGACCCAGAACATTTTTTGGGTTGCCCACATTCTGCTGTTTTGATTACGTCAAATGGATTTCCCATCTAGCTCCTCCAACTGGCTCCTCCACTATAGGCCGTATTGAGGCTGCAATCTGGGCGGCTTTCGATCGCAAACTATGTAATGCATTAACATTTCTCGATCAGCCAGAGGAAATGGGGAAGAGCCGCCACAGGAACGAGACAGAATGTCAATGGGAGAATCTTGTTCCTGGTCATGGCCGGCCTGGCGTCTCACCAGACAACATGCAAATAGCAAAATGCCAATGCCCAAGCCCCAAGTTCCAGGTCCCAGTCCCCAGCCAGCCACATCCAAGGCAAAGTCGCCGAAGGGGCCCATGCGGCCGTGCAATTTAGTCAAAGGCCCTAACGGCATTTGAGCCAAATGCGTTTACGTTTACGCATCCGCTATAAACTCGTATGCCGGGTTGTGGCTGCCTCTGACGCCGCTTCTCCGCCGGTTCGGCTCTCTAAGCCCAGATCTTTTGGATTTTAAACAGTGTTGACATTGCTTCTTTTTTAGCCAGTTTATTGCTAGATTTTCTGTTACCTATTGGGCTTAATTTAAAACTAAAAATATATACTTAAAATATTACAATTTAACTTTATTCAGATCTTTAGGTACCCAAATTTTTGTTGTTTGCCAGAACGTAAAATTGTTTTGAGGGAATGGTTTTTTCTTTAAAAATAAAATCTTTTTAAAAAATACTATATACATTTGAAGCAAACATAATAAAATTACATCCTTAAGTTTTAGCCTTTAAATAACCACAACACTGTTTGGAAAAAGGTGTTGGCAGCCAACTCAGAACCAGTTGGCAGAGTTATACTTATGCTTTAAGCAGGAGCATGCGACAAAACTGTGACTTTTAGTTTGCAGGCTGACTTCCTTCGGAACGTGGTAGGAGCTGGAAGCTGAATGTTGGATTCTGGATGCTGAGGATGCTGGGTTCTGGGTACTGGGTACTGTTAATTGGACCTGGGCTGGCGGGCTGAGCTGACGTCCCTCCCCCTTTTGGGCGTCGGAGTTTGGCAGTGCGTGGCGCACTTAAACGAGGTTAACTGTACTCCGAAGGCAACGCTCGTCTCTGGGCCGTGGAGTAAATTTAATTTTAACTTACGTCAACGCCAGTTGCTCCAGGGCCTGTGAGATGAGCGGTCAATGCACGCATTACCAGTTGCCAGTTGCTCAGTTTATCAGACGGCGATCGCCAAACCCGAGCACTTTAACTCCGACTCCATCTCTTCAGCTATAACTTCAACTGGAACTCCCCCCTTCGTGAGATCGAAAAAACAAAAAGCAGGAAAAATAAAACGAAAAACAAAATAAAAGCCCATCAAATCAGCAACGTGATGCTGCCCTTGGGCCCTCAGTCTGCACACTCTCAGTATATAAAGCGGTCATAACATTTGCACCACAATAATAGCTGTAATACTAACCGCTGCCCAGCCCCCATTCATTCAAGGATAATGTTACGGTTAATGGTGCGGCAGGGCGAGTAATTTAATTTACTCTTACAACTCGGCATCTAGCAACACCACATGCCCCCAACAACCAAAGGAAAGGAACGAATCATCATAGCGACTATCCTATGGAAGTCGATGTCCAAAAAAAAAGTTCAGACTAGACGGACGCACAGACATTCTGCCGGTGCCGATGCTCGATGCCGGTGCTGATGCACTCCCCGTTCCAGATGCAGATACAGATCCAGATAGAGATCCCTCATGCCGCGGCCATCGGCGATCGTCAGCCGGTCCAGACATTGGGCAATGGAGACGAGACAGTGAGGTCCGGGAGTTGGCCAAGTTAGTTGGCACAAATTATTGGTTTCTATTGGTATAATTTTCTTAGAATTTTAGTCAGAGATGGAAAGTCTAAGATGCGAATTTTGGGTTGCAATGCAGTCAAAATAATATATTATAAATGTAGAGTATTCTGCCAAAACAAATCTGCCTAAACTGTATAAGAAAGGTGTATATTCGTGAAAGACAATAATTGCCTTTAAAAAATTATTCCTTTTTTATGGACCCCTGTGATTTAGCCAAGTCCATCACCAATGGATTTTATTCGTTTGCCCGCAGCCACATTTGATGGTTGGCAATCGTGTTGGCCGGCTAATACCCATTATGCCATAAAGCGTTACCAAAACGCCATTAGCACGTCAGGAGGTACGCCTCTGGGATGCAACTAAAATGGAAAATGGGAAATTGCTGGGTTGGCCGGCTTGTGGGAGTTGGTAGCGAGCAGTGTCGATCGATTGATCAAATACATGAAACGATGGACATATCGATAACGATAGATAATGTTAATGGAGATGGATCTAAAAATGGAGTTATAGATGCAGCTGGAACTAGACCGAGCCACTAAGATGATGACAGGGCTGAGATGAAATTGTTGGATTCGATTTTGGCTAATTGCTGGAGTCCATTTGAAATGCCTACTTAGGGCTAATTGGTCCCCTCGGAAGCGCCGCCAAGAAATGTACAAACATTTCACGCTGTGCCTGTCATGGATGTTGTAATTGATGCTGCCGCCTCCAGGCTTCAGTCTACAATCTCCTGTCCTTCTGGCTGCCGTCCTGCAACATTGTGTGCCATGTCAGGAGATGTCAACCCGCCAGCGATGGCGACTGAGACCACGATGAGCAAGTCCAACTCCTAGACCGAGTCCGCTAAATCCAACTCAAAGACCAAGACCACGACTTCGACTATGACTCCCCGACGATGACGATGACGGCAAATCTAACAACTTTGATTGACTTGTGATTTGAAGGCGCGCCTAATTGAAGCGAGGCGGCTGCAAAAGAGAGGAACACATTCTCAAACTGGACACTACTGCCACTGGACTCTGTTTGGAATTACACAGGGCAAAATTAGAGAACAGTAAAGGACTCCTTTTAAAACTTTACAAGGGGGTCCACTTCAACATTTTTAAACACTATATGGCTCCCAAAAAATGATAGATCTATGGCAAAAATCATCCGATTCATAAGCGGAACACCATAAATGATTATTAAATCGATTTTCCAGAAATCTGCATACAAATTTGGGAACCTAATATTGTTTTGTAAAATTATTTGGAGGGTTCCCTTCAAAATGTTCAAAAATGCATGGATGGTCATTATGGTCCCCAGGGAAGAGCATATCTTTGCCAATACTCATCCGATTCTTGAGCGGAATATCTTAAACGATTTGTTGATCGATTCTCCACAAATCTGTGTAAAAATCTAGGAACGAAATATTTTTTAGATTTTTTGTCAAATTTTGTGGAGGGAAAAATTCATGGATGGTCATTATGGTCCCCAGGTTCTTGAGCGGAATACCTTAAACGATTTGTAGATCGATTCTCCACAAATCTGTATCAAAATCTTGGAACGAAATATTTTTTAAATTTTTTGTCAAATTTTGTGGAGGGTCCCCTTCAAAATGTTGAAAAATGCATGGATGGTCATTATGGTCCCCAGGGAAGAGCATATCTTTGCCAATAATCATCCGATTCTTGAGCGAAATACCTTAAACGATTTGTAAATCGATTCTCCACAAATCTGTATCAAAATTTAGAAACGAAATATTTTTTAGTTTTTTTGTCAAATTTTCTGGAGGGTCCCCTTCAAAATGTTGAAAAATGCATGGATGGTCGATATGGTCCACAGGGAAGACCATATCTTGGCCAATAATCATCCGATTCTTGAGCAAAATACCTTTAACGATTTGTAAATCGCTTCTCCACAAATCTGTTTCAAAATCTAGGAACGAAAAATTTTTTAGATTTTTTGTCAAATTTTCTGGAGGGTCCCCTTCAAAATGTTGAAAAATGCATGGATGGTCGATATGGTCCCCAGGGAAGACCATATCTTTGCCAATAATCATCCGATTCTTGAGCGGAATACCTTCAACGATTTGTAGATCGATTCTCCACAAATCTGTATCAAAATCTAGAAACGAAATATTTTTTAGATTTTTTGTCAAATTTTGTGGAGGACCCTCCACAAAATGTTGAAAAATGCATGGATGGTCATTATGGTCCTTGGGAAGAGCATTTCTTTGCCAATACTCATCCGATTCTTGAGCGGAATACCTTAAACGATTTGTAGATCGATTCTCCACAAATCTGTATCAAAATCTAGGAACGAAATATTTTTTAGATTTTTTGTCAAATTTTCTGGCGGGTTCCGTTCTAAATTTTGAAAATGTATTCGAAAGACCAACCGAAGCCCAGTATATATCTCTGCCAAATTCAATTCGAATATTAAACGGAATATTTTAAACTAAAAATATGTTATGTTTCCACTTTAAGTGGAAATATTTATATATTACTCCGTTTGTTTTTATTCTGAAGCTTCATTTCTAGGATTCTTTTTTCTCAGTGTCTTCGGAAAAAGCAGAGCTCCTTGTGTTGACTGCTCTGGTAAAATGTTCGTGAGAAATGTCATTAATACGAACGATGTGACTGCCTGGAGATGTGGATGCGAATGCTGCCAACCCAGCCTGCCATGACGTCCCCCTCGGCCCATCGCCCTTTGCCACTCTATCCGAACCGCATTGTTGCACTTAATTAATGTGAAGATGAGGATGAAGAGACTCCTTCCGTCCGCCGACCACATCGCATCCTCTTGGCGAACACGCCCTCGGCATGCAGGCCCTAGATGAGAGCGTTCGCCATATATGGGGTCAAATCATCAGAGGCATAGGCGTCGTCGTGTCTTGCAATGGGAATTGCTCCATGGACCAGGGACCACGGAGCATAGGCCGTCGTCCATGGACCACTTAGAAACGGCGATAATGGTCGAACGTTTATCTATTCCAAACGTTGTTCTGCACCCAATCCAATCGCAATCTGAAAGGCGTTAACAAATTATTTGAAACATGCAGCGCCGCGTTGGCATCCAATAATCCTCCCCGTCCTTAGACCCGATCCTGGATCCCGGTCCCCCCCGGCCGCCGTTCCATGTGTTCCAGGCGTTAATAGGCATTGCAATGCCGATAATTTGCAATTATACTTAATTGTAATTGTAATCGTCATTGTGGATGATGTCGATGTGGCACTGTATGTGTGTGGCAATTGAGAGTGAGGCAGGTTGTTATTCTTTTTTGTTTTTCTTTTATTGAGATTGGCTCGGTGTGTGTTTTGTGTGTTTGTGCTCGGGGCCATGCTACATATATGTACAACATTTCGTGTTTGCTTAAGCGATCGTTTTACTTGGCTAGACAAATGTTTATTAAGTCTATTACTTACTGGTATATGTGTGTTTGCAGGGGTAAAACATCTGTATAAAAAGCGGGCTAGGAAACCTTGTTGGACATCAAGTTGATCAAGAAGAGAAGATTGTCGTTATACGTTTTGTATCAGGTTGAAAAATGTACATCATTTCGTACAGCATTTAAATTTATTGAAATAAATGACCTCTTCGATTGCTTGAATATCCTATACAAATGTTCTACTATTAAGTTTTTGAGTTCGGTTGGTTTTTTATTCAAAAGCAGAGCTGTTTATAGCTTACGGTTTCTTGAGAGTCATTAAGGTTAAATTACATTTTACTTTTAAATCACAAACCAAAAGTAATCTTACTTCAACAGTTTTTTGTTAACATTATTTAGGAATCAAAGCCAGCAAACTGCATTTGATGAATTCATCTTATTAATTATTTCTCTATTAAATCATTACTAAATCGAATGTGTGAAATGTAACCAGTGAAGATGGTCGATCTATCTTAACTAGGACTACACACTGCAGTTCTCTATTGCAACGCCTTGTGAGAATTCTTCATCTAACCGATCCCTCGGAATATATCAAAATTCCTTTCAAATCAAGTCGGATCTGATCCTTATTTAACTACTTCGTTATGTCATTTGTAATTCAAAAACTTAGATGCAAAGAGCTTAGCAATTATGACAAAAATATTACACTATTTTGAAATGATCAATGAATATCAATTCGCTTATTGCTGCTCCTTGGGAGCCGTAACTTAATGTTAGAAAAAATACTCAGTTCCAGTGTTCTCGATGCTCGATTCTTCCTTGTCTTAACTCCTCAACGGACTTCTTCTGAAGGTTCATCCTTAGTACAGGATACCGGGATGAACGGCCCCACTTCGCTGGAAGTAGACATTCGGATTACTGCTCAACGTGGGCTCCAGAGTCGTATATAGATTCGTTTCGTCGGGTCGTATAAACATGCCTAGCGAGTGGGGGAAAATATATTTAATTTTTATTGTAAATAAGTGGGTTTAGTGTTGGCTTTAAAAAAGATATATAAAATATATTTTTATTAAGAATAATTTCGACTATTACCTGGCGCATAGCGCAACGTTTTGGCCAATTGCGCCGCTTGTGTCATGGAGGTTAGCGAGTTGCCCAACTGTTTGAGGGTCAACGGCGTGAGCGTGGGCGGTGCGGCCTGCTGTGGTGGCGGTGGTTGCGGTGGCAGTGGTGGTGGTGGTGCAGGAGGATAATAACAGAACGGGTGCGGGCTCAGGTGTGCTGGAAAATAGTGGTACATACGCGTATAGCTCGGCGGTGCGGCGGTGACGAGAGCAACCCGATCTGTGGTCGGCGGTGCGGTGTTGCAGGGATTTGTGGTTCAGGTGATTGAGGTGGAGTTGGAGTGGGTGTGGGTGCGTGCGTTGGGATGTCCCAGAGCCGTGTGTAACGTTACCAAACCATTAACAAAAACCAGTCGTGACCCACACACACGTATTGATAATATTACGTATAGGATAAATATATGTACAATAATTATTGATTTTTTTTTTGTGACAATAAATGTAAATTCAATTAAGTTTCAAAAAGGTTGAAATACCGGAAACAAAACCAAAAGAGTCAACCAAAGTAAATAAACAAAAAAAAAGGTTCCAAATGATTGATGAATATAATAATAATGGAAAAGATTACAAAAACAACACGGATGGATTATGTAATGATATATGCAAGAGTGTGTGTGTGAGTGTGTCGTGAGCGTGTCGAGAATTTTTTTTGATTATATGCGACAAAGTTTTGGGGAGCGAAGATGAAGGAGGAGTACGATAAGGAGATATGTATGTGCGGGGTTTATGATGTTGTCGTTGCAGTGATGATGATAATGTTGTTTTTTGGGTACGTTGTTGATGTTGTTTGGCGGTTGTTTTGATGATATATGTATGCATGACATGACAGTAAAAAAATAAACAAAACAAAATAAAATAATAAATATATGTATATATTTTTCATGTGCTTAAAGTGCAGCTTAAAACCAAGTCTTAGCCAAATATTGTCAGATAAATCTTTGGCAGCATAGATGTCACAATTTCTGCCCATGGCCAGTCATAATTGGCCTGACCCAGAGCCCGAACCCAAACGCAGATGTGCCAAATTCATGGAAATTACCTTGCCATATTTCACACTTTTGCCGACCAATTTATGGGGATCTTAATGATGTCAAACGATTTCATGTCAATGGGTTAACTCTACACCCTCTAGCCATAGAGAAAGTCTCACTCTGGACTGTATTTAACTCCGGTTTGCATTTATTTTTGTTTCTCAGTGAGCTCCCATTTATGGGCGATTGGGCAAAAACCCTAAACGATTTTCATTCGAATCTTAATAGGTTTGTGTTGGATTTGCAAATGGTCTTCGTGCTCATTTCCACACTTTTCTGCTCAGTGACCTTCATTAACTTAAGGGCCTAATAAACTTTAAGTAGAGAAATTCCACCAAGTATAAAACATACGTTTTTTAGGCATCATAGCCCATTTTTCTTTAGATTTCAGTTGCAATTTTTCTTTCTTATGTGATTTTTATATGATAATAATAATAAAACCAGTTCAACTCTTTGAATATTTTTCGCCCTACCCTCGCATTTTGCGAAATCCAGTTTACCTTTTCGATAAGAACTATACGTAATTGTTCAGCTATTTATAACTTTTGTCCACTTGTCATAATTAGCAGCCAGTTTTGGGCTGACAACTGGACAAGGAGCCCCTCTAAGCCTTACAAATGTGAGCCAATCAACCATCAGCGGTAGCAGCTGGGGGTTATAACTTACGATTATTATTATATTTTCAACAGCTTTGTGTTGTGAGTTAACCAAATGAAACGAGTGTGGCAAACTGTGTTAATGACATGAAAACTGGCCAACAAAAAAACGAAAAAATTACAGAGAGCAGAAAAACAGGCCGAAAACGAAGCTGGAAAAACAGGGAATACTGCGGTGGCATTGAAGCTGCTGTCGCTGAACTCTTGACAGTGTTAAATGCAGCAGTTACACACATGCCAACCCCCTGGCCTTTTTTTTGTATCTACAAGGCCCACTTTCCTGCTCTCTGGGTTTGCGGTCTTGGTTTTCTAATTAACTTAGAACAAATACTGCAATTAAGCTCGCTTGTTTTTATCCACTGCTCTGGCTTTGAGACTTCTTTTCCGCCGGTGCCGATGCCGATGCTGTTGCTGCTTCGAATGTGGAATTATGTGTCAGAAAATGAAAATGCATGTGAGTATCTGTATCTGTTTCTGTATCTGCGTTCGTAATCGTATCTGTGTGTAGGCTTTTGCATTTCGCGCACAAAAAAGAAACTAGTTTCCAGGCGCTAAGCCAGCCGAAGCGGCAAATTTGGCTTAATTCCGTTTTGGCCGAGAGCAGTAAGAAAATTTCTTTTACTGGCTTAACCACAGCTTCTGATTTGTGCTGTCTGTCAGCTCATTTGCTGATTTACCCATTATGAATTATGCGCGCCAGCATTAAATATGTTACTTTAGCTGATACCTCCTCCCCGAGCTCCTGGTTTTTCTTCTTAGCTGTCAGTCAGCGAAACGAAACGAAACGGGACGAAATGTAACGAAAAACGCTAATTAAGTGCAAATATGTATGACCAGTCTCGGAGCTTGGCGTCTGTGTGCGTGTTCCGCTTTGCCTATATATTGGTGTTAGTGATGTATCTATGTGTGTGGGGGCGGTCAAAAGGCTCTGGGTATAGTTTCTTAGAGATGGTAGGAATACGTGACTCTGAATCTAAATTTTCCTAATTATAAATATGGAAATGCTCTCTGGTAAAATATTTTGGGATTAACCAAAACCATAATAATAATATTTTTATATCAGGGTCCTATTTTTCCTTCTCCCTTAAAAAAAATTTATTTTTGAATTTTTGTTTAGTAATCAAAAGACTTAGGCAGCGAACTTGAAAAATTTTCAATTTTTATTTGTCAAGCAAAAGACTTAGGCAACGAACTTGAAAACTTCGATTGTCAAGCAAAAGACTTAGGCAACGAACTTGCTTGTCTGAATAGGAGTTTTTAGAACCTTATTCTAACGGATTTTGTTAAGGGGGAATATAAGTCGAACAAATAAATTAATTCTTTTTTTTTAATAGCTATGATTGTTGATTTTATCCAGCTGATGTTATGAGTTCCTGTAACTATTAGAAACGTATGCCCGAAGCATGTATTCTCGCCTATTATATAAATTCTTTTTATAAATTATTCCCCCATTTAAACTGAGGCAATTTATTCTTTCTCCATTATTTCCTCACTTTTAATTCTTCTTTCCGTGAGCTCGGCTATGCTCTTTTCTGTTTGGCTCTGTTTTTACTTTTCCTCACTTGCATTTAATTACGATTACTTCTGCCTCTTTCACCGGCTCCAGGGAAATTCATTAAAATTGTCCATCTCTAGAGCCAAGACGTAGCCAGCTAAGGAGACATAGAGCCACGTTTTGCATTTTGCAGTTTGTCGGCTCGCCCCGCCCCCCGCCTTCTGCTTGCCGCCACCCCTGAAAGTGCTTCCTTACCCTATGGTAAGCCCAGTATCTTCTATCTGGCAACAAGTTAAAGTTAAACCAACTGCCGCACGTTGACTGATTGCTACGTGCAGATTGTCATTGTTCCACAGTCTATGTTGTAGTCTTGACTGTTTTTGTTTCTTTTGTTGCTGTTGCTGTTCTAGCCACAGCCAGCTATTTTTTTTTGTTGCTACATACTTTGCAGACTTTAGTAATTTCTTTGGCGAGCGTTGCTGCTTTTTTTTCCTTATTGGCCTGGCGTTGACTCTTTCTTTCTTTTTAGCCAGCTTCTAGCTGCAACTAAAGCCGAAGCTAAAGGTTGTTGTTTTTGCCGTTGTCTGGGCTCTTTGAGAGTGAGTTGCCAGATGTTGTGATATCACGAAGCAGCATTATAACTAATTGGCCACGTTCGTTCTAAGCCATATCCCCAGCTCACCAGCTGCCCCCTCTCAACCACACACTCTCTCAAGCAGAGTTCATTGTCATGAACTGCGGCTGCGGCGTTTCAGTTTTTCCCTCCCATTTTTAGGCGGAAGAAAAACATTTTTCACATGCTCGCAACGCTCGGCAATTTGCATATTTTGGTTAAGGGCGTATGACCTTCAAATTGCTACAATTCAATTTACATTTAAGTTAATTGAAGCACTTTAGCTGTGGCTGCGTGAAGTTATGCAACGCATTATCCAATTTTTGGTTGGACCTTTAATAACTGTTTTCCTAACATAATTGGTGAAAGAACTTGTTCAAAACTTCTTTTATTTCTTGATAAAGGTCTTAAAACGGTCTATCCATCGTTTGTCCATATTTTACTTGTTACTAGAACAAGCAATATTAAAAACTATTGTTTTAAAATTGTCTATTATTGAAAATACTTAAGGCCCTAAATCAATAACTCCTTTCTATAAGCCCTCTAGGTTTTTGCATCCCTGGGCGGCCACCGCAAGTGCTGCTAAAGATACCGTAAACCGAGTCGAGCTCTTGGCCAATTTAGCGTAATAATTCCAGCGTACGAGCATGTGCAGTTGGCACACGGCTCATTGGCTTTCGGCTCCCCTGCCACCCGATTGAATCGGTCGCCCTGACTGGACTTGGCCTGGTCGGACTTGTAATATACTGGGTTTTAGCCAGGCTAGGAGCTGTGAGCTGGTAGCAGAAAACCGAGTGCTGAGTTGGCTTTTCCGCTTTCGGTTTCATTGCCGCAATTCGGAACTGGTTATCGATTACGTTGCTGGCCGGCTGGCTGGCACTTCTAGGCAAAACTAAATATCATCGCTCCAGCTAGCATCCAGCATCCAGCCTTCAGCTCTGTGGCTCTTATTGCAAACCGCTATAATTTTGTGGTAATATACAGTGACGCTCGTTTCAAGCACGTGCTGGCAGCGTTTACCCGACTCATATATTAAGTCTCATACACAGGCGCTGGCTGGCCGCAGCCGTGGCCGCGGTAAACTGCAAACTGAAGTTGGATACGGATACTCAACAACACGTACTTCACAGATTTGTACATTACGCCATCGTCATCATCATGATCATCATCTTGGCCATCAGTGTTGTCAAGTTTTCTGCTTGGCTCGGCTCTGCTTGTGTTCATTTTGGTTCTTTTGTTTTTGCTCTTTGGTTTTTCAATTTCAAGTTCGTTGCCTCAGTCTTTCGTCGGCTGGAAGTGGTCTTAGAACAATTGAGGCTAATCGAATCTTTTTTATGTCATATTTTCGACAGCTGATGCTGGTCGAACCGTTTCAATAGATGCCCCCGGGCCAAGTTCTAGAGTCGAGAACAATGCCAGGTTAACAGAATTCTTATGATTGAAATTGTGGTACGGTTTCTGCCTTAAGATTGCTTTAAAATTTGGGTCTAATAATTGACAGCTGAAACAATCAGAGATAAACTTTGAGGCTGAACAGCTATAAGTACAGAGAACTTTAAAGATAAGCACGTGGATATAGTTTTTAATTTTAAGACAACTTTTAAAAACAAAAATCTATTAAATGTTTTTCATGTAAATATTTTATGAATTCTTTAAAAAAGCTTAATCAAACGAACTTTTGGTATTGTTACTTTAATGAACCATTAATACTTCTCTTTTTTCCTTCAAATTAAAAAAAAATATGTAAATTTCTATATTTTATAAAATCATAAGGCAACGAACTTTTCATTTTGCTTTTCTTGGCAGAAACCTAATACTTTCCAATTACTTTTGTCCACAAATATTTCTTATAAGCCAATCAATAAAATCAATAATCTAAATGGGCTTTCTTTGGCCAATTCTCATTTGGCCAACTGGTTTATGACAATGAAGCAACCTTTTGGAAGTAACCATCAATAACACTCGGCTCGAGCTAAGCTTTAGATCCTCAAGTGTGCAAAAAAAAAAAAAATAAAGAAAAATCCAAAACCGAAACAGAAACAAAAACAAGCCTCTGGACTGAGCACAGTTAAATGGGTATGTGGCCTCCCTGGGGCGGCTCTTTATTGACAAATCCCCATCGATCGATAAACATGCAAGACAAATAGACAAAAACTTCCGCACGGGTCTCGGGAGTATATCGACAAGCTTTAACCTTCCAAGGTCTGGTCGGATCTGGTATGAATGATTGATTTTATGTATGTGCCTGCCTGGCATAAAGTCACTCAATAAAATTACAAAAAAATGCGTCGTCGCCGGAGAACAAAGACCGCTGGCAGATGCTCAGATTGATGGGCCCCGCTCCTGGGGCCCGGTTGGGCCGGACCATCTTACTTACTGACCAACTGGCCAACTGGCACCACGGCCAAGTCGAAGATGAGACACTCTGCCGACTGATAAGGTCACACGCAGCGCATCTTGGGAAGCATTCCAGTTGCAGTTTCAGTATCGTAGCCCGGGGAGCTTGTGGGGCTTTCAGGGTATAATGATAACATCAAGCGGCCGTGCGACCAACGGAAGTATGTACCAGTATCTATTTTTGAGACTCTGCCTGTCATCGGCTCGGCTCGTTGTCGACAGCTGCCCGAAGCGGTTACAACAATGCGACTTCAATTAAATCAGGCCGGGCCAACCTTGAACTCTGTCGTTTCGAGCGGTTTGTGCGCGTTCAATCAGCTCATGTAGGACCGTGCGACATCCTTTGGCTTTTCCCCAGATCCCAAAGAGCCAGGCCCCAACTGGAAACTGGAAGGGAAGGAACCGAGGCAGGAGCCGGAGTAGGGGCGGAAGCTGATGCTGTCAATCTGCGTTTATGCCTCGCCTTCGACTTTGGCTTCGTGGCGGTGGCAATCATTGAATGCCGCTCTTTGGCTGGCCTCTGACTTTACCTTGCCCCTTTTGCCCATACACCTCTGCCACAGCCACTGCCCCTGCCCCTGCCCTTGCCCTGGCCTGTTTTAGGCTGGCTCATTCCTTGGCGTCAACGCCGTTAGCTGTCGTTTAGTTTATTGTTGCAAATTGCTCAGTGAATTATGTGCCGAACTGCTTACTGGCAACGACCACACAGATACACACTCCATATATGTTTGTATGTGGTTTTTGATTTCGAGGGCTTGGCAGGAAACTTGATATTAAGGATTTATTAGAAATATCATTCAATATTTTCTACGGTTTTGGTTTACTCATTCTCAGTCTTATTTTTTTGTGGGTATATTTATTAATGATTTATGTTCGTAAGAAGTCATATGTATTTTCAAATTCAAATAGCTCTAGTTTTTTGTAAATCACTTTATGAACCAAATTATCCTGCTTGCATCAGTTGGATTCCACTGAAAGTAATCAAGAACCATTCAAATAGATTCCATCTAAATGCAGAGCCAAGAAATCCAATGATTGGGCTCTTCTTAAGCTGTCAACTTCCCAGCCGAGTCAAGTTCGTTGCCCAAGTCATTTGCTCTTCAATCAGCCAGAGCAATGGCACGAAAAAGGCAAAAAAAGGGAAAAACTTTTGATTTTGCTCTTGTGGCTCAGTGGCTTATGTAAATTTTTAGCTGCTGCCCACATTCAGCTCCAGTTTTTTCTTTCTTTGCCCTTAATCAAGCTGGAACCCTTGCTGTCGCTGCCTTTGGCTCACTTCACTCACAATCAGCCTGGCTCAGACAACTACACAACCCACACACATATGTCCGGGGATCGGATCGGATTGGATCGGATCCGATCGGATCGGGTTTGGTTTGGTTTGGCTATGTGAGTAGGGAGTATGGGGCTTGGAGCTGGGATCTGGGAGTATGGGCACGATAATGGCAGCGATTGCAGCTCTTGGCTGATGTTTGCTCCGTTTGCTTGTTAAGCTCTGTGCCAACTTTGATTTCGTTGTACTTTGTGTGTCTCCAGACATTTGTCTTTTGCTCTTAAGGTTTCTGCCTTCGGCTGTGCCTGTTTCAGTATTTTTTTTCCATCGTTTTTGTTTTCTGTTACCCCTCAAATGCACTTTCAATTGCAGACAGTTTGACGTATATATGTGTAGTCGGGGCCAGAGCACTATATCTCTCATTTATCTATCTATATGTATATATTTGTGCAAACCTACCTATATTTCGTTTGTCTTTGGCTTTCTTCATAGGATGGAATTGCAATCTGAGGCTTAGTTTGTGCCCAGGCTGCCCACAGGCACTTTGGCTTGTGGGCTGTGCCACCAACTTCAACTCCAATTCCAATTCCAACTTTAACCACAGGCCAGTCAGTAGTACTGGCCTTCCTGCGTGCCTCACAAACTGAATTGGATTTGAATTCATCAACAAGGCAAGTAAGCCACTTCCTACTTGGGCTAAGTATTATTATAATTTGGTTAATTATTTCAAAGATTATACATAGGTCAGAATATATTCATGTTTATTCTCATGTCATAAATATAATCTTCTACTATTATTTTAAATACTTCCTAAAGCCATTCCTTTTAGTGTTGCTCAAGTGTTTTCACATTACACTTTAGCTTTGTTTTCCACTTGAATTATTCGGAGTTTTCCTGTCCCATTTCCATTTGAATTATTTTTGCTGACTGTAATCGTAAAATGTGATGTATTTACTTTAATTAAATTACGTAAAGTGTTACATGGCTAAAGCACGCACATTTTGGAGTACCCCTGTGCAGGCAGCCCTCCTTTGCCCAACTCGCCACACTAGTATCTTTCCACTTTGCCACACACATAAGCCACTCAACTTTTGCTTTCATTAGAAAGCTGAAATAGTTTAAAGCCTTTTATGGCTTGTTATTGTTAAGAAAGAAAAGAAACAAAACTAATAATCATAATAAAAAAGAAATATTCCGCAAATATTGTTTTTTGTCAGGCAGTTCATAAATTGCCAAAAATTGCACTGACAGTTGGTATTGTTGAGCTAGCGTCTCTGGCCATTGTGGGATTTGGATTTGCCTCGTTTCACTTGCTCTCAGGTGGCGGGAGGTCGCCGCCATTTCTACAACGCCTGACAATGACATTTGACACCTCCTAATGGTCAGATGTGAAATTCCAAATAATAAATTTCAGCCGTGTTGATGGCTTTATTTGCATCATCAGAAACGATTTGAGCCAAGTAGCAGTAGCCAAAGCAGCCGGTGCAAAAATCTAATCAAAAGACTTAAGCCACAAACTTGGGACGTTCTCACAACGAAAACGAAAGCTGAATGCGATAGAGACGAAGGCAAACGAGCATAGAGATAGAAATAGAGATATAGAAAGACAGATGAACGGGCGGACGGACAGATCGCTGCATGTGTGCTCTTTTTACACTTGGCTTAGACGACGACGGAGCCGGCGTCGGGAAAATTAATATGCCAAACAATTACACGGCCTGGCAAAACAATTTTAAGCCCAGTTAATGCCGGCGCACAGTGGTTGGAAATTACAGAAAAATTCACCGCGAAAAATTGTCTGCAATTGGGAATGGCTAAGAAATGAAAGCGCACAAATCTGCATACAAACAAATAAAGCAGAGCCAAAGGAAAATTGCCATACATACTAATTGGAAAAGAAATGCATAGTCAATGAAAAAGTAAATAATAATGAGGGGCGGGTTTTTGGAATTAAATTAACAAGATTAGATGGTATTGGATTTTTTTAAAAATTAAATATTCATACCAGACTTTAGAAGAAATGAGGTGAGGAATAAAGGGTTTCTCTACGGGAAAGGTAGATCCAAGAAATACCGAGAATTAATATTACTAGCTACTAGCTATTACTACTCAAAAGTTGTTCACTAAATGGAATCTTACAACTCCACTGTGCCTTAGCTACTGTCTGCTGGAGATTGCTGTCTTTGAAAGTTAAGACTTTTGCTTTTTCTCTTCTCCGGCTGTCTTTGTTATTGTTGCTTTTAGAAAGAGCGAACGTACGGATAAACAAAAGTTCAAGAGGTTGCCAGCCCCACCCCCCGGCGCACATGAGGCAAGAAAAGAAAGTTATTACAAAATTAACAGAGTCTGACAGCTGACAAGGGCAGGAATGGAATTGTTGGCTGCCTGAGTTGGGTTCGATTGCTCACCGCAGAAATTGTGACAAATTAAAATAGATATCCGATATAGTAGCTGTAGTATATAGGGGAAGAAATCGAAGCGGGACTTACCACCTCCGTTGTTGGCACTGGAACAATGTTTAGAGCTGAGACCCTGGGCCGTGTTGGAGGCCGAATTGGGCAGTCCGCATCCGCTCATGACCCCGTACTTGATGGGCTTGAAGTGGAAGAACGACGGCGAGTATCCGGATCCGGCACGGCTCAACGAACTGAACTGCTCTTCGCGATCCTCCACGTACAATCCCTCCTTGCCCATGGCGGCCAGCTGCCGGCCCTTGGGCATGAACATCACCAGGAACACGGTGGCGGAGGTGGCCACTAATCCGAAGGCTATGCAGGCGTCCTTGTGCCTTTCCGCCACAGCCAGACCACACAGCATCCATCCGAGCCAAATGGGAATAGCTCCGCCTATGGCCAGTCCAATGTAGGTGGCCTCCCGGTAATTGTCCCGGATTCCCCGCGATTTGATGGCCAGAACCGCGATGAAGACGATCAGGAACACTATGTAGATCAGCGAGAAGAGTAGCTCCGAAAACTGGGTCTTGCACAGTGGAATCAGCACCGTGCTGACCGCCGCTATCCGGGTGTAGATCTCCGGCGTACCGTCCAGCGTTGTGTAGGATGTCGGATAGAATAGGGCCGAGTAATTGGTCTGGGAGGCCACTGTGGTGCTAAGGAAGCCACTGCCCATCACCGGCACACTGGTGGTGTAGATCTCCGGAGGCTGGGTGAGGAGCCACTGTCCTCCGATGGCCACCTGAATCAACAGGGCAAAGAGCAGCAGGAGTCCTTGGTATGGAGCCGGCAGATACACCCCGCCGTTCAGACTGATCAGGAACACGCACTTGACCAGCAGGGCGGCGAAGACCAGGGCATAGGCCACGCCTACTCCAAAGCGGATGGCCCCACAGCTGAGCAGCGTGGGCTGGGCGGTGATGATGGCACCCAGGCTGGCGCAGGCAAATAGCCCCAGGAGCAGCATCTGGCCCAGAAAGAGGTGCCTGCGGGAGGGCGACGTCCGCCAGGCCTTGAAGAGCACGAAGATCTCGAAGGCGGCCATCATCAGCATGGTGAGGGTGGCCAGCACCAGGACCGGCACCACCCACGGTTCCTTGCGAAGGCCGGCGAAGGGCAGGTGGGTGGACACTATGCTGGGTGGAGTGCTGTTGGAGTGACCACCACTCCCGTGTGGTACTCTTCCGGTGGTGCCAGCCGCTCGTGCCTTGGCGCCCAGACTTCTTGTGGGCGTGGCGGCGGTACTCGTGGTGGTGCTGCTGGCTGAGAGAGTGGGCACCACAAAGAATTCTGTGGACATTTCCAGGCGGGCGGCACTTGAGACATTACCGGCCGGAAAATTAAGATCCAGTTGCTTGGCAGCGCGCTGAGATCCAGGTGAATTAGTTGGCGGTGGCGCAGTGCTGGTGGAAGTGGTTGTGGTCGTAGAAGTTGTGGAAGTACTGGTGGTGCTGGTCGTAGAATTGGCATTCCTGCTTGTCGGCTTGAGCACATGGTAGGCATTGCGATCGGACTCCTGGCTGGTCACCAGCCGCACCCGCCGCCAAATATTATTTCCATTGACACTGAGGCTGCGGGACGCCGGTGTGGTGGCGATCAGCTGCAGGACCAGCAGGAGGATCAGCAGCAGGTGGCGTCTCCCGGCCATTGGATGTGATGATAGCCCAGTGCCCCTGGACCCTAGACCCGAAACCCTTTAACCCTTTGACCGCTCAAATGCGGCTCATTTCTTTCGCTCACGCACAAGCTTAACACACACGCGATATCTTTCCTCTATATCTTGTCGCTGTCTTGCTAGGCGATTTCTCGGTTCACGATTCTCAATTCTCGCTTTTCGTTTGCTCGATTCTCAGTTCTCGATTCTCGCGCTGGAACGTCCGCTCGCTCCAATCGACCAAACTCGTCTGGCGGAATCTGCAAGCCCGACTTTGGTGCGGCTTTGTCGTTTGAGACAGGTTTGAAGCGGCTTCGAACTAACAATGTTCGAGTTCGATGTGCGTTTGGTAACGTAAACGTAAGAGCCAGGCTTTGAAAATGTAACTATGTAACTAAATAACGGTAATGATTTTGTTTTAAAAAATAAATAGAAAAACTGGATATACTACTAGTAAGAGTTTAAGAAAGGGATAACATTCTTAATAAGACTTTTTCCATTTTAAGAATTCTTAGAGATTTTTATTGGTAAGAACTTATTTAGACCCAATTGCAACCAGCTAGAGAAAAGTTCCACAAACTTAAGATCCACACTTAAGAGCCTCGCTAGGAGAACACTTTCATTCGTTCTGCACATTTGTTTGTATGTTTGTAGAGATCGGTAGAGACTTTATGGCCAAGACTTCTCTGCTCGCATTTACTGGCAGTAGAAAAGTAGAAAAGTGCTATAAGCTATGAGCTATTAGCTGGCCGCTTTGCGGTTTGCTTTCATAGCCACACTCTCTTCGAAAAAATGGGCCCCAACAAAAGGCCAGATAGCAAAATCCACACACAAAGGCGATTGTAAATCAAAAGCGCGCTAATGATATATCGATATACAAAGTGTTGAGGTGGGAAAGGTAACGCCAATGGCAATTCGCATATATGTAGGAACGGACGGCAGTAGGAGCTCGCCAGCACTCTGATTCCGATTTCTTGGGTATTATTGTGTTCGCAGATTGCGCTTTTAGCCAAGCACAGTTAGGTTTAGGCCCTATATGGATTACCTGAATGAGTGAGCAAAAATAAAGCAAATAGAAAGAATTAATAGAAGTCTGACATAATTTTGATTTGTTTGGAAATACAGTAGAAAGTATTTCGGGATTCCCTGGGGCGTAAGAATAGCTTGACTTAATCTTGTTCATATGGAAATTATTTAGAGCAATTTAAATTGCATAATATTAGACTAAATTCTTTGAAATTTTTTATGATTTTAGTTTCTGTAAAGTCTTGCCAATTTTTTGGTTCTGTGCAAACGGTTCTCAGTTGGGCTTTCGGCCACTACTGGACATTCCGTACCGCCATTCATCTCCATATTTGGCACGGTTCACAATGCGCAGCCATTAGCCGCAACAAATGTTATGTAGATCGTGTCGACTGAGCTTCCCCTTGTTGGGTCCCTCCGCCCCGCCGGGACTTACGGTATCGTTAGTGCTGATCTTGAAAGGTCCGGTCAGCCGGCCGGCAATCCGCGTTCTGTTTCGCGATCTCAGTATTGACATGAAGGCGGGTAAATAACCTTTCGGCATGGTTCGCAAAAAATAAAAAGATAAAGAGATACATAAATGAGCTCGTAGTCAAATTTGTGATTCGCAATAACCGTCGAAAGATCTGCCATGATACGTACTCTTACCTGTTCTGTTCTACCTGTTGTGTTCGGAATATAATTTATGAAGTTTTCAATTAGAACACGACTGTGGAAAATTAAATTCCTCCCATGTTGTGCCTAATCCTTGTAAGCTAAGCTGTCGCCGTCCACTCGCCATTATATTAAAAATTAAAACTGTCACTTGCCTGTTGGCCTTGCCAGCCAGCCTTCCGCCTAACCGAGTTCCTTTGGCTAACAGTTCTTTATGTAATCCGGCGGTCTTAGAGCAATCTTAGCTAATTAACAGGCATTCTAATATTACGCTATGCCTTTCTCCCCACCGCCAGATCGAATTTCACGACATGGCCGAGACACATTGCGTTAATAACCCCTGACTGGGCACAAGATCAAGGCAGTCCTGTGGCTCGTGCGCAGGCCAAAAGTCAATTGGCCAACACCGTGACCAAAAAAATGGTTTCTTGTAAGAGGATATTGCTTTAAAAATGGTTGATATTTTTGATATTTCTCCCTTGTTTTGTTCTATAAAATATGTTTATCAGTTTTATTTTATTACTTTCCTACTCTATACTAACCTTTTCGTTTGGTCTTAAAGCTCTCATTACTTGCCTTGTGTATCAACTTTCTTTATGGTTAAAAATTATTAAAATTTCATTGTTTGCCGCCTCAATGGGCCTAGAATATTTGCACGATTTGGCCAAAAAGAAAGAGCGATTTGACCCCGTCGATTTATAGGCTTATATTACTCGTACCGCCGGTTGGCACAGCTATGGCGGCGCCAAAGATCCAAATCCTCTGCAAAGTTGATTGATTCCGGCGATTTGAATGTCTGCCCTCATACCGGTACCCGGACCCCAAGCCCCAAACTCCAAAAACCAAAGAACCTGCGGTTGCGGATTAGATAGAAGTGCCGACTGTTGGCCAGGGCCAGAAATGTGTCAGTTGAACCGTTGCTCGGGGCTCTTCATGGGCGCCTTAATTTATTTGCTACAAGACCCGCCGGCGCCGTCTGGGTCAAGTGTCAGCCCATGGAGGTTCGCCAATGTCCGTCTCATCGTCATGGCATTTTGGTTATTAATTTTCGGAGCATTTCAATCGGTGTATTTTATATGGTTTTTGGTGCAAGTTTCGCGTAAATCTTCGGTGTTGCATTTTCAAATTTAAATCGAAACCAGTTGGTCAAGTGCGTTGAACTTGCTACCAAGGCCCAGAAACCGAATATCCAGAGACAAAAGCCTCTCGGCGATCTTATTTATTTATCAATATGTAGTACGGTCCCCCTGTGCTCCAGTCGGGTTCATTGTCGTCCCCAAAAGAGCGAATTCTGATTTATAAGCGAGCTCTTGCCCAGTCCCTCGGTCCCCAGACTTTTTCCCGCATAACCCCCTCTCTCCCTTTTTTTTTGTAGCTCGACGGGGCTGCGCTTTAATCACGTGCGTGCAATGCGCACATGATGATGCGCCCCAATCCGAATCCCCATGCAAGCTCCTCACATGCTCCTCCCTTCCTTCAGCCACCTGTGCTCCCCTGGCATACCCGGCACCCAATCCGATCCCAATAACGATCCCGACCCCGCCGATGCTCTTGACGATGCTGGGATGCCGCTTTTCTTGTAGCTGTTCCTGGTGTTGCAAATGCTGCCAGGCCAAACACCCAGTGAACATTGCTTAACAGCGAACTACTCGCTTGCCATTGACAGTAGATGGTAAAGAATTAGGGCTGGTTTATTATTTTACCATTTATTATATTTTACTTATTATTTATAATATAATTTGTACTACAACCCAAAATCAATAGGAAATAGTTTCTCAAACTTACATAAATAGTTAATAGCTATAGAAATTATTCTTCCTTAATGTTAAACTCTTAGAAAAAGGGAAGAAAAAGCAATTTTTCTAAAGACCTCTACTAGATCCTTTAAAAAGCTTTGCCTCTTATACATATATAAGTTTATATAATTTATTTAATAAAAGGTTTCTCATTAATAAGTGGGATGTCAAATATTATTTTATATATTTAAAATAATTCAATAAATACAAAATACCTCCTGATTCCTTATTTATTTATCCTCGGGTGTGCTTTCCTCTATATGTTTCAGTCCATTATGCAGAATGCATATAAATGTAAGTGCAAGTATCAGAGTGAGTGTAAGTGAGTTGATGTTGTTGCTTTTAATGGTGTTTTTGTTGTTGTTGGTAGGTACTATTGTTGTTACTCTTGTTGTTGTTATTGTAGTATGAGCGCGCATGCGTGAAGCGTCCGTTTTAATCGTTGCCTGGCCATCGAATATTTCTTTGGCCACGACGGCGATGACGACGTGGAGAGTTGGCTCGTAAATCCGGCGTATAAAAGGCACATAGCTCTCGCCCCATTTGGCCGGGGTATCGGAGGATCGAAGTATCTAGGCTCTGAGGGATCGCGGGTGTCGTCCATTGTTGCTGTGGGGTGTGGTAGGGTCAGTCTCGCGGCTGGAACTTAACTTTTGGCTGGGATTGGGACCTGGACTTGGTCATGGTCTAAGACTGCGACTGGAGATGGGGCGGCGGTTGGGCTGAAGAGGTATAAAGGCCTTTAGATGGTGGCTAACTTGGCTCTAAGAGCTGCCTGACCAAAGGCTGATTTACTATGATCCGCTTGAGTTTTATGTGCAGAAAGATAAAATTTTTAAGATATTGACACCTTGTTAGGCGTTTGAGAGACAGCCAGTGCCTTGGGGGCTGCAATAAGGAAAATAACTTTCCGAGGCGGCTCCGAAAGGTGGGGGGCATCTTAGAACCGCCTCCCCTTACCACCTTCTACCTTCGTTCGAATCGCCCTTCCCGTGGCTAATTGTGGGTAAAATTAAATGCATTTCCCGTCGTCAAATGCATAACTTTAGGCCGGATTATCGAGGCGTTGCAGAGGCATTGCAGAGATTATTGCCAACCAAGACGTTCAATCCTCTCAATCTCCTTCTCGTGGGTGTCACAGGCGGGCCTGGGTTAAATTTATGGAATAATACATATCTTTATGGCTTCATTAGTGAAAAGCTGCTCGGTGCCCGCGACTTTTAACCCTCCGCTCTCCCAATATCCCCCCTGCGAAGTCCACCATTCGACACGCTGTCTGCAGCAGCGCCCGAAAGGATCGGCGGTGCAAGAACCGGAGGAGTTGGAGTCTCTGCCGATCGACATGGTCGTCAAGCGTCATAGTCATCGTCATCGGCATCGCCATCGTCTTCATCATCGTCATTGTTGTTCTTGTTGTTGCTGTTGTCTATGTATCTGTCACTACGTAGAGTCGTCGAGCTCCGTTCTGGAGGCCTCTGGCACTTGAGACTTTGTATGCACACTTCAAAGAGGTTCAGTTCGGGTCGCTTCGATTCGGTTCTGCAAGCCAGAGAGTGCATATGGCCATTGGGAAGGGTTTTGAATACCAGACATCTTACAGAATTCTTTATAAAATAAATAAACAAATAATA